GCTTTACTGAAATCGAGGTATATTAGATCCACCGCATTTCCTTTATCTAAAAAATCTGTTACTTTCTCAAAGAAGGAGATCAGGTTGGTTTGGCACGATCTACCTTTCGTAAAACCGTGTTGTAATTTGTCCCAATTGCCATTGACCTCAAGGTCCTTAACTACTTTCTCCTTCAAAATTTTTTCCAAGACCTTGCATATTACAGATGTTAAACTAACAGGCCTGTAGTTACCCGGGTCACTTTTTTTCCTCTTCTTGAAAATAGGAACCACATTAGCTATTCTCCAGTCCAACGGTACCACCCCCGAGTTTACAGATTCATTAAAAATTATCGCTAATGGGCTTGCAATTTCTCACGCCAGTTCTTTTAATATTCTCAGATGAAGATCATCCGGTCTGCCCGATTTAGTCCCATTAAGCTGTTCGAGTTTGGTTTCTACCTCGGATACGGTAATGTCAACCCCCCCTCCTTTATTCCCATCCGTCACGCTGCCACTATTCCTAAATCCTTCATTAGCCTCATTAAAGACCGATGCAAAATATTCGTTTAGATATTGTGCCATGCCTAGATTATCCTTAATCTCCACTCCATCTATAGTCTTAAGCGGTCCCACTTCTTCTTTCTTCGTTTTCTTCCTATTTATATGGCTATAAAACCTCTATTGGTTTTAATTCCCCTCGCAAGGTCCAACTCTACACAGCTTTTGGCCTTTCTCACTCCATCTCTACATGCTCTGACCTCAATAAGGTAGGTTTCTTTGCTGATCCCTCCCATCTTCCACTCCTTGTACGCTTTCTGTTTTTTCTTAATCACCCGTCTGAGACGCTCGCTCATCCAGCTCGGTCTAAATCTCCTGCCTACGAACCGTTTTCCCTTTCTCGGGATACAGGCCTTCGACAGCTCCTGCAACTTCAATTTGAAATAATCCCAGGCGCTGTTCTCCCACCTACATAGCTACCAGAGACATGCTGAAGGGGCAGAAGCTTAATGGTTCATTCAGAAGAATGCATCTCCACTACCCTGACAGCAAGGGGAATGAGCCCAAATCCTGGTGTGACACTTGCACTCACAATATTCTAGCCTGGAACTGAGAGTGTAACCAGCTGAACCAGAGAGACGCTGCACACCAGATCATGCCGAAGACACTGAATTAGGTATTTGATGGGGCCCAACAGGGCTTCAGAGCAGAAAGGAGCCCCAGGAGAATTTCTGGCTAAGCTAGAATTGCTCCTGAGGCTTAGGGGAACAAATGCTTGGTTGTCAGCTCCACCACACGTACATTCCCCAGGGCACAACTCACAGGGTAGTTGGGCTATGATGGCTGGGCCTTCTTTGTTGGTGCAACTAGGGCTATTGGCAGCACTAGCCTGCAGCAGTTCTCATGATCACAAGGAAAGGATTTTGGCTCCCCTATCAGAGAACTCAAAGTGGGGTCTCCTTGCACCTCTCCCGCACCCCTTGCTCACTACTCCAAGTCTAAACACAATTGGTCCTAAGACCCGACATTCATTTCAGATCCTGATTATTCTAATTACACATTTTCTACATTCTGTTCTATTTCAGACAGTTGACGTTTATAACACGTTTTGGAAGAGGAGAGCTCTGCATAAATGCTAAATATTAATGCTATTAATTATGCTTCTGCCCCCACAGTTATAAAATGCTTTGGAACATGGATAAACTGTAACCCTTTCCAGGACAACTGCTGCAGCTTCACAGAACGGTGCATTATTTGAGAGTGGAAAAAGCCATCACCACATCTTAATTTTATTAGCTACAAGCACTGAATCTTTTGTGTTGGATACATGAACCTCATGTGAAGTGACTGATTTAGCTTTAATTTTGCTTCTGCTTCCTGCATTGATCCATCAGTAGAATAAATGACATGGCTAATTGCCTCCCCCCCCGAGCAGACTTTCAAGCTGCCAAAGGCAGAACTCCATCGCTATCCTTGTGCTTTTAGGAAGGGTGCAGGGACTATTTGTTGGCTCAGTAAGAATGCCTTTAAAGCAAAATTGTGCCCTCCTTGTTATGCAAGCTTGGGCAGCTGTCTGCGCTGATCAGATGGTGATGTTAGGCCACATATCACCCTTGAAATATCAATGGGAATTTCACATACAGACCAAAGGGCAAAAAGAGGGCCCTAATTTTCATTTGTGAAGACACAAAAGACAAACAACACCCCTCCCCTCCCCAACAGCTATATTTTCTAGTTACTTTAAGATAAGGATATTTTCTTGGCCCAAAGTGAGAGACTCATTTTTCCTTTAAATCAAAACATCTTCACCAACATCCTTTCAGCAAGATGTTTGCTTGTGGTATTTATCTTGCTCATCCAGCCTTCCAGGAGAAGTTACTGAGACCACCGAACCTTGTTTCATGGAGGTTTTCTTCATCACCCATTGTTCATAAATGCAAGCTGATTAATGTCAGCAAAAAGAGGGGGAGGAGGGGGTTGCGGGAGAGACAGGGGTGTGTGTGCACACCCACCCACCCCCTTTATGCAGTACAGCACAATTCAACCCAAAAAGGATCTCAATGTGCTTTGCAAACTGCATAGAATGTGATTACTTTATCCAGCAGTGAGATATAGACTTTTGAGGCATCAGATGCAGAAGCAGCACTACATAGCAGTGGATTCAGGAGGGAAAATGAATAACTTTTCTAAATTAAGATGAAGGTGGCAAGATTTTGGTAGGCAGCAAAAGAGGTTGGAAATTGGTTTCCAGTGTGACTCAATGGATTTCTGTGCAGCTATTTGCACAGATAAATTATAATACTTAGCATTTGTATGGTGCTTTTCATCCATAAAACTACTCTGCAAGAATGATTATCATTATCTGAATTTTTACAAATGGGAAAACTGAGGCACAGCATAGGTAAGCAACTTGCCAAAGGGTCCCATAGCAGATGTTCTCACTGAGTCACGTGACCATACCACTGGATCATGCAAATATTATTAAACTGACAAGGTCACTTTTATGCTATCCTAATGATTGTGGACACTGAATCATGAACATACTCATTAGCTGTATTTAATGCCACTGTAACTCCAGTAAAATCGTTGGAGTTATACCAGGGATGTACTTGGTGCATACTCAGTACACAATTAACTTTATATTATAGTGTACTTAAGAAGGGGTAGTTATTTACTCCAGGGCAAGGCTTCGTTCCTCACCTCTGCCATCAATACCACCTAGAGAAGGGGCATCTCTGCTGCTATGTTTGTTTACTCCTGCTCCTTGCATTTCTCTTTCTGCTCCACACATCCTAATTGGACATCGCACATGTCTGCCTATTAAGGGGCTTGATTCCAATCTCAATTACAATGACGTATATCAGGAATAGCTACGGAGGTAAACAGAGTTAGTCTGCATTTATGATGGTGTAACAGAGAGCAGTGTCCAGCCCCATGCGTATTAAGGGAAAGCAGTGGTAAATTAAGGTGATCACATTTAAGAAAAAAATACCATAAAACTAAGTGTGTTTAATTCAGATGTAGCTGCTAAACAGTGCTTTGGGCATTCTGAAATTTCAAAGGGGATGTGCGCAGGCCTTTTTTTATGTTTTATGTAAGAGCATCCATAAAAAGGATAAAGCACCTCAGAACAAGGTATATGCAAACCATAAAGGAGCACTCATGGAACAATCATAGTAAAAAGGAAGGGGTCATGCATCCACACACTCATTTAGGGCTCAATTGTGGCTTTGCCACTAGCTCAAAGTAATAGCAGTATATAGCTGGGCTGCCCCAGGATCAGGCTATGACTATCTCAGTCTGGTCCTTGGTTCCCTAGTGCTCCAGGGAAGAAGTAATCTGTACTAGTCCTATACCTGACACACATTACTTCCTCCTCTGCACCAGCAAGGCTGTGCAGAGCCTGCAGGCCTGCATGTTGGAGGGGTGGAGCCAAGGCTCTACCACAACCCACCCCTCTGTATGGGGGAAGTAGCAACAACCCTGCATAAGGTGCTCCTCTCCCCCACAGCCAAAAGCTACTACTGGCTACACTCTACTACATGGGTGTGTAGCCACAGTTATATTATGTCTTTATAGAAATAAACTAGGGGAACTACTTATTTCAGGAACGAGTGCATTAGGAATATGCATCTGATCAAGACATCAAAGTCACAGGTTAAACTACTAGGAATGTAGAAAAAAAAAACCACCTTTCCAATGACATATGGCATAACGTTCAACCCTTAACAATCTAGGAAAGCACGTCAAATTTAGAATTCCCCCAAATTGTGACTGACTACACACAGATTCATAGTCTCACAGAAATATCAGCAATATATTTTTTGAATTAAACAAACGTTAGCATTTTTCATCCACAGATCTCAACCGCAACTGTAAGGAGTTTTAACTATTGTTGTCACAATCTTATAGATAAATTTTACTGATGCATAGAGAAGTTACATGGACAACGCAAGGTCTCACACAGCAAATCAATGGCAGAGCCGGGAATAGAAGCAAGGTCTTATGCATTTTTCAGGTGCGCTTGCCAGTAGACGATGCTGCCATGCTTATCAAAGTGAGGGACATGTAGGTCCTGATGGAGTCATGACACTAACAGCTGCCTTGCAAAGTACTGAGATTTTGACTTACAACAGCCCTGCTAATCTCATCAAAACCTCCTCAGAAGAGTCTATCAATCACCCCCAATTGTGCCAAACAGGAAGGTTATTTTGTTCTATACATAAAATTCAAATAGGGGCTGGGAGGGGACCAAACAACTTACTTTCACTTGCAGCCAGAATCAGATTTGACCCAGGTCTCCAGAAAGGGTAGCACTGTATTATTCCAATGTCAGCAATTAAATACTAATGTTAATCATATGTAAATGAGAATAAATAGCAGACATTTTAAATTCCTTTCAAGCCTTCCACAAGTAATTTTCTTTCACCACAGAATATCTAATCAAGGCTTGAAGATTATAGGCTGTGTCAATAGACTTTTATACTACTTAACATACTACAGTGCAGTAGAAGAGACAAGTTAGTTAATGAGAATTTATTAATGTATTTATAAAAGACTTGCAATAAGTTTGAAAGCCTTTAAGTCACAAAATTCAGCAGGGCTCCATTTATAGAGCCTAAAGTGCTATGTACACATCTGCAGCACCCTAAAATGCATGACAAGCATATTGTAAAAAAACAAGTTATAAAAAAATTTGTCTGAAGTACAAGTAAATTCCAAGCAGCTTTAATAGGCACCTATTGTAGTTTCAGGAATCATAGTTGCATGCATATCTCTAGTCATATTTGATTTCTCCTTCAGCTTCGACTGGAGTAACGTGTGTTCCACTACACCAATCCTTATGTCCATCTGAACTGTTTCCTGCTTCAGTTTGGTTAAGGCCTGCTTAATTTTTACTAAAGGAGCTGTTACAAAAAAAAAAAAAAAAAAAAAAGACAAATAGTACATGTGTTAGTCTCCTGTACATGAAAAGCATTACTTTTCCAATAATTCACTCCCCTTGCTAACTGGAGAACGAACAAAAGGAGACACGATTCTACTGAGACATCATTTTTAACACACAAGACATATTCAAAATAGAAATAAGTGGTGATAATTTTGCTGCCTCCTTGACGTGTTGGATCTGATAATGTGCATAAAAATGAGAATAGGTTTTCCAATTTCATATTTTTTGCACAGCAATAACGCTCACCCCTCTACCTGAGGTGGTGTTCGGTGGAACAGGGAGCAATGAAGACACTGTCAGCAGCTGGTAGTGGAAGATCTCAGCTAAGGCAGTGTTCCACAGACCCCATTCCTTTTCCTCCCACCCCCTTGCACCTCTGCAAAGCAGACGCTGCTTCTTCACCTCTCCACACCACTCTTTGTGGAGCAAGGCATGTGGGGACGGGCGGGGGGGGCAGGTTCCAGGCTGGAGCTTGTTCTACCCATCACCACTGTCATTGGGCAGGAAGGGTGGTATGAGGCCAGGTGATTAACTCTGTGTGGTGAGGGGAGGGTGTATACAGTTTGCTTCCAGGGTGAGATAGCTACTGCAGGTGGTTTATCGCAGTTAGGCATCAGTAATTAAATAAAGTTGCAGGCCCTGTGTTTAACTCTATTAGGGTGTCTGTCTGATACTCTCCATGTCTGCATCACAATTCCTTTTACTTTTGAAATAGAGCAGGTTTATCAGCCAAAAGAGACTTTAAGACAGCAAAACATTTAGGCTTATATGACTTTTAGAATTAATTTAAAATAGAAACAGGACAACCATCACAAGTACTAGAATGAATTTTTCTACCAGCTATAGGCCCAATCCTGTGAACACTTGCCACCAAACATAATGCTTACTGCCATAAGCAAACTGATGGTAGTAAGTGTTTGCAGCATCAGGCCCTACATCACCAGCAGTGGGTTAATTATGTAGTTATTCAAATTAGAGAGCCCATGAATTTTTTGAGATTTTTATGGTAAAATTCTCAAAAAAAATTTGTTTTGGAACCCAATGGGATTTAGACTCCTAAATGCCTAAGTCACTTTTGAAAGACTCCTAAATCACTTAGGCTCCTTTGAAATTTTTCAAATATTTAGTAACTCATTCCTGCTTTTGTTTTGTTTATTTTTCATATACCAGATTATTTTTCCATAACGTAGGCCTGAATGTGCACTTGCTTCTCAGGGAATGGGAGTTTTTTCCCCTGAGGAAGGCATGTACGTACCTCCATCGGTCATACTGCTTCCCTTCTCTTCCATTTCCTGCTTTACTTTTTCTAACACTTCAGTAATCTGAAATTGAATAAACTGATATTAAGTGTGCATTATTTTTGAACTTCAATTAAAAAAAATCCTGAATAACTACATTAGTTTTACAAAAATGACTAATCTGTGCTCAGCGCTGTAAATAGAGTAACAATATTTCTCAACGCCAAATTACGAATCCCAAACCGGATTTTTAATGTGGAAAAAAAGAATAACAATACAAGTCATGCTACATGAGTAACATTTTGGCAGTGGCCTGGGGTTACTGTTTTGAAGGGTCTCTTATCATACAGTAATAACAATAAAAGTGATGCATTTCAGTAACTGATGGAAGACAAGAACCACTATTCTCTTAGAGAATGGTTAATGGAATAGCACTCCTGTCTACATTACAACAGATTAAGGATCGCGTTTTCTGAGCTAAAAAGTGGTTTGCCAGGTGATGGTAGTTACTACAAAAACCAGGTTGGTTAAGGAATCCAGAAGGATGGTACCAGAATAAAAAGATAGACAATAAAAGTTCCTGGGATGTGTACATAAAGTTCATTGGGATGTCTGTGTATAGGAGTAAGAAAAACTTCAGCACTGACACTGTATATTGAAAGGTCTGCATGTACAGTAGTATTGTGTCTGTAGCATGGATTGTGAAAAGGGAGCGATCCCGTTCGCTAATAAAGCACTTTGACCATGATATGGAAATGAATGGGTTGGAACCACTAAGCCACATTTACCTCCCTATTTCAATATGTTCAGAGAGAAGAAAACATTTTCACTGCACACCTAGGGTGTATTGGTGTGTCCCAATGGGCCATGTTCTGATCACAGCTATACCCGTGAAAAATCTATATAGCACCAAATATATCTGGCTTTACTCCAGATATGCATTACTGCAGCTGAGATTAGAATCGTGTCCAATATCCACACACTCAGTCATGCATTATTCTTTATTAGTTGCACACTAATTACCAAAGCACAAAAACATTATAAAGACTTCAAGTTCATATGGTGTTCTGTTTTTAAAAATTACTTCTGCTTTTAGGATGGAGCAGTATTAAACGCAAGATTAAATATAATTGTACAAATTAATTATTATTGTTTTAAAACAGGCATAATTCTGCAGAGGTCCTACACTCAGAAGACAGATTTGTACTATGAGAGAGACAAGGTGGGTGAGGTAATATTTTTTATTGGACCAACTTGTGTTAGTGAAAGAAACACGCTTTCAAGCTCCACAGAGCTTTTAGCTCGAAAGCTTGTCTCTTTCACCAAGAAAAGCTGGACCAATAGAAGATATTACCTCATCCACCTTGTGTCTCTAACATTTTTAAAAAAAGCTTAATAAATGTTGTGATGATGGTTTCTAGTGTATTCTAGTAGTGTGATGAGATGAGGCTATAACAGAAGTTTAGTCTTCTAGTGGATTAGGTTTTTTGTAACCTTAACCTAAATAGTAAAGGTTTCAGAGTAGCAGCCGTGTTAGTCTGTATCCGCAAAAAGAACAGAGAACATGTTCTCTGTATGTATATATATCTTCTTACTATATGCTCCATTCTATGCATCTGATGAAGTGGGCTGTAGCCCACAAAAGCTTATGCTCAAATAAATTTCTTAGTCTCTAAGGTGCCACAACTACTCCTGTACTTTTTGCTAAATAGTAAAGTTAGTAAGGGAATGAAATTTTCATTAATTTTTTTTTATTTGGAATGTTGAAACAAAAGATTGACATTTGCAATCAAAACAAATTGATATTTTGAAACAAAACATTTTGATTTTCCACATCAACATTTTGAAACAAAACACTTGGTTTCAAAATATTGCTTCAGATAAACCAAAAAATGTCACTGAAATTGACATTTTCCATCAGAAAAATTCAACAAAACCAGGTCTTCCGACAAAAAACTTTGCATCAGAAATTTTTTGGCCCATTGTACCAAATGTTAACTTTTTAAATAAATATAAATAATAAAATTTAAGGTTCTCTCATCTTCAAAGAACTTTACAAACATTAAATCCTCAATAGCCCTAATGAGGCAGGTAAAAATCTATATTTTATTTTATATATTATTCTCCTTCGAGATGAGGAAAACTACAGGGGAAATGTTAAGTAGCTTGCCCACCTCACAGATAGAATCAGTAGCAGAGCTGGGATTAGAATTTCGGAATCTCTCTCTCAATTCTGGGCTCACAGTTCTAGACCACTTTCATGAAATGAACAAATTTCTAAACATTGATATGAAAAAGTACTTCATAAGAAAAAGTTTATTTCATAAAATGGTAAACCCCAATGTCAAATGACTGTGCACAGTGGACTACTTTAGAAGTTAGAAAACAATGCATGAAAGATTGGAGCTCTTTTCAGAATTAAGACCAGAACACAAATTGTGTGAAAATATATTCTACCTCAGAAAGAGTTCTAGTCCTTTCCGTTACTCCTCCACTTCCCTGCTGGTATTTCTCTTTGGCCTGGAAGAGAGAACACTTTCTGTATTATTGACAAAACAGAAACATACCTACAGTAACTCTTCACTGAACGTTGTAGTTATGTTCCTGAAAAATGCGACTTTAAGCAAAACGATGTTAAGCGAATCCAATTTCCCCATAAGAATTAACGTAAATAGGGGGGGTTAGGTTCCAAGGAAATTTTTTTCACCAGACAAAAGACTATTTGGAACCTAACCCATACATACATACATACATACATACACACAGTATAAGTTTTAAACAAACAATTTAATACTGGTACACCACAATGATGATTGTGAAGCTTGGTTGAGGTGGTGGAGTCAGAGGGTGGAAGAGGTTGCGATATTTCCCAGGGAATGCCTTACTTCTAAATGATGAACTAGCAATTGGCTGAGCCCTCAATGGTTAACTCATCATTGTTAATGTAGCCTCACGCTCTGCAAGGCAGTATGAATGGAGGGAGGTGAGACAGCATGGCAGACAGAGACACACACCGTGTGTGAGAGAGAGAGAGATGTGCATTGCTCCTTTAAGTACGCTGACCCCACTCTAAGTGCACTGCCTTGTTAAGTAGATCAGCAAGCTGAGACGGCAGCTGCTGCCAGGAAGCTCCCTCGGTCCTGAGCCCTGTCATGTGTCCCCCGTGCTCTATGGAAGATGGGGTAAGCAGGGGGCAGGAGCAGGGGACACCCTGACTTTAGCCCCCCTTCCCCTCCTTGCACAGCAAGCAGGAGGCTCCCGGGAACAGCTCCAAGGGAGAGGACAGGAGTAGCACATGGCAGTGGGGGGAAGGGACAGCTGAACTGCCGGCAATTGATAGTCTGCTGGGCGGCTGCCACACAGGGAACTTAGGGGAACGGGGAGCTGATGGGGCGTTGCCGGTCCACCACCAGCTAGCTGCAACGGGCTGCTCTTCCCGCAAGCAGTGGACAAAGCAGGCAGCTGCCAAACGACGTTATAAAGGGAGCATTGCACAACTTTAAACAAGCATGTTCTCTAATTGATCAGCAACATAACAATGAAACAATGTTAACCGAGACGACTAAGTGAGGAGTTACTGTACTGCTTAGAGAATTTATTATAATACTTGCTCTTTTAGATCCCAATTTGGAAATCCTCATTCATGCATGCAGTGCCAATGAAATCAATGGAGTGTGAGGAAGAGTTTGCAAGATCTGGCCCATATGTCTATCATTCAAGAATCTCAAAGCACCTTAACAAATGGTAATTAAAGATCACAACACTCATGTGAGGGAAGTAAGTTTACAGAAGCACAGAGAGTGCAAGTGCCTTACCCAAGACCACAGTGAGTTTGTCAGAACTGGAATGGAACTCAGCAGTCCTGAACCCAGGTCCTCTTTCTCAAAAGAGGAAATGTAACGTGTCACCATTCTGAGTTTAACTGCACCTCTGTCACATCCATGTGCTGGATTCAGCCCCACAGGCAAGTTCATACAAAAGACCTGGGGGGAGGCAGGGACGAGGAGGAGGAGCTCCCTCATAACTTTAAGCCCTGTGGTTAGGGTACTCACCTGGGATGTGGGAGACCCTCAGTTTGAGTCCCATCTCTGCCTGAGGGGGCGAAGGGGTTTTAACAGGTCTGACACCCTCTATCGTAGGTGAGTGCCCTAACTATTGCACTATGGGATGTGTGGCTGCCTCTCCTGTTGAAACTGTTGCTCTGGGTACAAATAATTAAAGAATCATTTGGGCTAGAGAAAGAGAGGGAGTACACATGACAGTGACAGCATAAGCATAATAATGACTCTGTAGCCTGGTGGTGAGAGTACTGACCTGGGATGTGGGAGAGCCAGGGTCCAGTCCCCCTGCTTTAATCATTGATTGAAAGATTGAGAGCCCCCCACACCAGATTAGCCCAGAGCCCAGTGGTCAGAGCACTCACCTAAGAGCTGGCAGATCCCTGTTTAAATCCCTTCTCCCCCCCCCCCCAGATGGAGGGAGGGGGACTTGAAAAGGGGGGGTCTCCCACATCCTAGGTGATTACCCTAACCACTGAGCTAAAATTTATAAGGGAAGTTCTAGTCCCCCCCCGGCTTCTTGATAAAATGGCACAGGTGCCTAACTCCAGAAGAGGGAGAATCATTAGGCACCTATCTGTAACTTGGATTTGGGTGCCTATATTCGTATGATGGGTAGGGCTTAGCACACATTGGCATCTACCATTAGTTAACTCAGGCAGCTTTCTGTCTAGTATACTAGCTTTTATGATTCACAGTCTAAGATGCCCCTTTTACCCCCAGTCTTTGCATAGGAACTCAGGCTTTGTTATCACAGCGATTTTTTAGGTGTCTAAAAGTTACATGTGATGCTCAGAGTCACCACGTTCAACTCCTTTTGTGCGTCCAGACCTTTGTCTTCTACCTACAGTCAGAGGGAGAAAGTAGATGTGGACTCTGCAGGCTGCACTGGATCCTTGGGCCATACTGTAGGCAACTCAGCCCTACAAAAAGCAAAAGCAATGGGTCAGTGCATTACCTCACTCAGCTGGGCTTGTGCTGTACGATATTCCTGAACCAAATGCTCCAACTGATTGTTGAGGTACTTCTCCCGACTGTTGACCTTTTCGAGGGTCCTACTGATTTCATTATGAAGTTTGTCAAGGTAACCCTAGAAAATGATATTTTGTGGGTAAGATTATACTTTATATGTAATGTATGAACACTGTTATAACGCCTCTAATTCTGAAAGTATATTGAATCATAGGAGTCTGAGATGGAAAAGAATTATTAGGACAGTTGGCCTATGGCCAACGCAGGACTGCACCTATGATAATGTTTTCTAGTGTTTAGTTCAAATTCAAATTAGTTACAGATTCAAATTTCTCAAGAAATGGTGCTTCTACCATTTCCCCTAAGATTATTCCAGTCTAATAAGTCTCATGGTCAGAAAGTTATTTTGATTACAGTATTTAGCTATGTTTTCCTTTTTAAAATTCCCTCTGATTATTAAGAAGTACCCTCCACAGGATAGTCTTTAATAATTCCTCTCCATTTTCAGGATGTACACACTTCAAATACTTGTAGTCCACTGTGTCCCCCATTACTTATCCTTGGACAAATTATACAACTTTACTTTTTCCAATAATTTGTCCTTTGTCAATCCCACCAGCCCTCAATCATATTTGTTGCATTTCTCCATAGTGCTGTAAAACAATCCCAAGAAAACTGAATCAAACAATATATATATATCTAATCAAAGAAGTCAGTTAAAAAATGCTGAGAGAACAGTAGAGTACTCTGCAAGTACAAGACATACCCTAGTCTCTTTTAAAGCAGATTCGATTCCATCTTTGTGCTGATGCATTTGATCTACGTGGATTCTCCAATCCTAAAAGTACATCAGAAAGATAATAAAATGTCTAAATTATAAATTCAGATAGCAGCATAAGCATGAAAGAGCTACAGAGGCTTGTATGCGACTCAAAGCTATTGTCCTACCTGCCCATATACATTGAGTACTGTTGCTGTGTTAAGTTACACAGCTGCCATGTTCCATTCCTTCAGGCAGCTGCTTTATGGTGAAGTAATTTATCAGACTCCTAAATGTCACACTGTGACATTCATGTCCAAAACCAAATACTGAACATGTCTGAGGCCATACTCTCTGGAGTGTATCTGATCTTCATTACAGTACTTCTGCTAGAAAACATTGTGATGGAGCCTTCCAAATATTGAGACTATTGATTACAACTCCACTAGCTCTGCTAGGTCTCAGGCAGAGAAAGAGAGCATAGCTAAAATGTCAAAAGACCTGCCAATGTTCAAATTGTCAGATCTTCCCTTTCCAATTCACCTCCAGAGTCATCAGGAGGACAGAGGAAGGACATGAAAAAGCAAGACTACCTGACCCCCTTCTCTGTGAGGGCAGGGGAAAAATATACCTCCAGCTGCTAGATGACAGCAAACATACATAAACTACATATAGATTTGAGAAAAATACCTTATAAAATATTACTCCATTTTCTAAAATCTGCACATAAACCATGGCCCAATCCTGCAAAACACTTTAAGCATGAGTAGCCGCGCTGACTTCAATGAGAATACACATGTGCTTCAGTGTTTTGCTGGATTGGTGCCTATATGACATGAGACAGAAGCACAGATCACAGCTCCAGCAGTTGTTAAATCTCTGAGGCTTATTGCCTACAATCTTGCTCATGTCCAACACAATCTGTTCAGAAATTAGGAAAGGCTGCGGAAAGAAAAGATGAAATTTACACTGGCAGGTAGTAGAGGCTTAAAGTTTGGCAGTAGGTCACGTGTCCTTTTTTTGGTCTGGTGAAAATTGGTTGTGATGTCAAATTTACAAAAAAAAAAAAAAAAAAGAAAAAAGAAAAAAGTACTTTGGATTTGCATACAGTAACTCCTCACTTAAGGTTTTATTTATGTACCTGAAAAATGCAACTTTATGCACAACGATGTTAAGCGAATCCAATTTCCCCATAAGAATTAATGTAAAAGGGGGAGGGTGGAGAGGGTTATGTTCCAGGGACATTTTTTTCACCAGACAAAGACATTATATACATATACAGTATAAGTTTTAAACAATTTTAAACAAACCATTTTATATTGTACACAGCAATGAATGATTGTGAAGCTTGGCTGAGGTGGTGGAGTAAGAGGGTGGAATATTTCCCAGGGAATGCCTTGCTGCTGAATGATGAACTAGCACTCGGCTGAGCCCTCAAGGGTTAATACCCTGTTGTTAATGTAGCCTCATACTCTACAAGGCAGCATGGACTGAGGCAGGAGGGAGGAAACACAACAGATGCAGGGCAGTAGCTACAAACACTTCCCTGCAAAAACTGAACATGATGAGCCCACACTATCTAGCTGGAGCGCATCACTCCCTCCTCCTAACAGCACATGCATGGCTGCACAGGTGCTGACTTTCCGAAGTGCTGGGACTGCATGCATGAGTGAGTGAGAGAGAGAGACGTGCACTGCCCCTTTACGGACGCTGACCCCACTTCAAGTACGTTGCCCTTTTAAGCAGATCAGCCAGTTCAGACAGGAAGCAACAGCTTCCAGCAAGCTCCGTCCCTTCTGTCCCTGAGCCCTTCCCCCTCCTCTGCTTTGTGGAGAGGGAGTACAGGGGGAGCGCGGGCAGGAGCAGGGGGACATCCTGATATCAGCACCCCTCTTCCCTCCTCCCGCAGCAAGCAGGAAGCTCCCAGGAGCAAAGCTTCAAGGCAGAGGGCAGGGGCAGGACAGCAGTAGGGGGAGGGCCACCTGAACTGCTGCTGGGCAGCTGCCAAGCCACATACCTTACAGGGAATTTAGGGGAGCTGATGGGGGGGGAAGGGGGCTGTCTGGCCCCCTCTGGTTCTAATCCCAAGGAGGGGCTGCTCTTCCAGAGAAACCTGCAAGCAGTGAACAAAGCAGGCAGCTGCCTAACGACGTTATAAGGGAGCATTGCGCAACTTTAAACGAGCTTGTTTCCTAATAGATCAGCAACGTAACAACATTCACCAGGACAACGTTAAGTGAGGAGTTACTGTACTATTTATTTTATAACATGCTCTGTTAATAATCTGCCAATCTTCCATTGGTTCTGAGTGTGTATGCATAATTTAGGAACCTCTAGAGAGTATGAAGTGTAATGCTCTTCTTTATACTGAGTGGGAGAGGCCAGAGAGGAAAGGAGACCTGCCTCCAGTTAGGGAAGCTCTCAGACCACTAAAGCATAGACACTGGGACAATGAATCCTCTTTCTCCTGTATTTAACATGGGAGATAGTGCTCTGGGTTGGGAACCAGCAGATCATGCATTGTAGTTTAGACTCTTGCACTCATTGGCTTTAAAATTCTACACTTCACAGCTCACATTTAGCAAAGCTTCATTCCCCTACAGTAAGAGACAGATACCATGCTCCCCTTGGCCATTTAATAAATGGCTGAGGACCAGACAGAGGTGGCCCAAACTTAGAAAAGTTTGTAGCAGAGCTGGAACTAGAATCTATGCCTCTCATGTGGCTGACACAAAAGTACCATCCAACAGTAATCCATGTGTTTGCTGTATTTCTGTAATTGTCCCAATAAAACCTTTTATTAGAAGCCAAATTAAAGGTTCAACCTGAAAAGGGTTTTCCAGGTTTTAAAAAGTTTCCACTGGAATTCAATTATACATTAGCAAATGACTGAAATGCTCTGATATCAGTACAGTAGAAATTACTGTAAAATATTAGAAAAACATTAATATAAATAAGTCTCTCTCAGATCTCTTGCAGGGGACAGCAAGTTACTGGTAGTTTTGGAACATCTCACTGTAAACTATTCAGTGTTGTTTAAAGACTGGGATATATAAAAATGGCAGATATTCACCATAAACTGCTTATTCAATTCATTTATACCAAAGCATACACATGCTCTTACACACCTTATTGTCAGTTCTGATTGTAACTTTCAGTTGTGGAAGAACACGTTCCACTTCCAGGTTCCACTCTGCTGCATCTGTTGTGGACTCTAAAATCTCTTCTTGTTTTGTGGATTCATTCATATCCTAAACAAACATTTCAAGGTTTCTAAATTTCAAAAGAAAACAATTGCTAGGTGATAAAGTTACAATGGCTTAAGGCATTCAGAACAGGGAGAAATATTCATGCTTAGGAAAATTTACAACAATTTGATTTATATTATTTCATGATTTATTGTTGTTTCTTTGTAACTTTAAGTACTAGGATTTAAAACATCTTATCTGATTTTATTAAGTATTAAAATGAATGAATAATGTATTACCAGTAAGATAACAGACATGAAACTATTTTGGATCCAATTAAAAAAAATATGTACATAGAAACAAGGTGCTATTTAAGTTCTTGGAAGTTGATTCTTCAAGATTCGTGTAACTTAGAGAGATTCTGAAGTTTAGAAACCTGATGTATTTGAGTCTTTTAAAATAAGCTGGTCCTCTATAGTTAGTATGTTTTTGATATTTAGACTATATTAATACTGACAAAAATCAAGTGACAGCCTTTACTCATAACAAATTGTAAAACCAATGTAAGTAAGTTATGGTTTAAGATGTAAAGATCTGCTATATTTTATCAGGGTGCTAATAGGTAATAACTTACTGATCTATAGGTTTGTGCCTTTAGAACATTCAGATCAATAAAGTTCTCTTCATTGTCTGTCTCTTCTTCCTTAAAAGAAAAGTTGCAAAACATTTCATTAGTAAATACTGCATTATTTTTCTTCAAATACCTCAGCTTTTCCTGAACTAAAGCAGAACAAATAATATTTTTCAAGTTTTTGTAAAATAACATGTAGTTTTTGAAAGTACAGCTTGTGTTTATTGAAATTGATGAGGACATGCAGCATCTTTGGGTAGCATGTTTCTTTTACAGAAGTTAGATTTAAGATGGGATTTTAAAGGGAAAATAAGGGAGCTAGGTGTCCAGTTCCCAAGACTCTTGAAAAATCACAGCCTTAATTCGTTTGTCAAATGGAAGTTACATTCCATTCAGCACAACAAGTGACATAGTATATTACATTAACACACACAAGGCAGATCTACTCCAAGGATCAGATTAGTATTGGTGTAAATGACTAAATCTACACTTCACACCAGTGCAAAATTTGGTCCTTGGGCACAATCCAGTTACCTTTAAGCTCTGCCAGGCACGGATGGTTTTTTGACATGTATTTGTACAGCATGTAACACAGTGAGGGTCTGGTCTGTGACTGAGCACTACCATAATATAAATAATAATAGTTGTGAGAACCAAAGGCAAAATTGGGGCTTTAGGATTGACCAGCTAATATTCCCCAAGGAATATTACTTATTAAAAGAAATATGATTCAGTACCAGTTTTATAAATTTTATTAAAACTATTACACCTAAAATGAAGAAAGCATACCACTAAAACTAAACTATTGACACTACTAAACTAAATTAAAAGTTAAAGTATATTGGATTGGAATTAAATCATTACATTAATACAACAAATATTCCTTATAATTCCAAAAAGGAATCTAAGGAGGTGGTTTTCCATTGGCTAAAATCCCCAACTAAAGAGTTTTACCATTGACAATGAAATCAAAATGTAGAACTCGCTGAATATTTTATAACTGAAACCAAATTATTGATTAAAGTCTTCTAAACCACAACCTCAAAGTCAAATATAAGATTCCTCCTTAGATTTCAACTGTGTGGTTTTCCTCGCCCCAACACAGATCACACAGCCTCAACAAAATAGTCTAGTGAGTGGAAGTTTGACAATTCTTGACAGTTTACAGCTGACAGCTTAAGTTTCTTCGGTTTCTCAGATGCAGAGCACACTTTCACTGAACACCTAGGAGGCTAAGTTTAGGATTGTTTAAAATCTGGGGAACTTTCTTTCTTGTGCCTTCCCTGTGTAGATTTTATGGGTACTCACTCATACACACATACACCTATACAACCACACTTTCCCACCCTAAGATTAAAGAATATAAGGCTGGGATGTCTCCCAGCTAATAAAAACAAAAGAAAAAAGAAAAATGTGATACGCAAGATAACGGGGGTTTGAAAACTCTTCAACTATTGCAGTCCTCTAGATTCTTCTGCCATAGGAGCTCGGACTGCAGTCAAAGAGCCAGATGACGTTACTAACACAGTACTTCTCACTAGTTGGACCTTGTCGGGGGCAGGGAGACGGGTCAAAAGGCTTACATAGCACATTAGTCAATGTCTTGACTTCCTCTCCCTAGACTGCCTGGCCTTAGGTCTCAGGAACATAAGTCTTCCCTCAGGTGGTTTGCTGACCCAACAGGGGAGGCTTCTTTACTTTACCCTTAATTCTTTTGGCTTGTGAATTGCGCTTACTCAGCCTGGCCACACCTTCCTCCAATGCCTTTCAACAAATCAGGTGCCAGGCTAACTCATGTTTGAGTTAGGTCATGTTTAGCTAGCATCATATTTGGGAAAAGTACTGTTTAAGCCAGGAATTAAAAAAAAATATTCAATGTTTGCATGCCACAGAGACTGCATATCCATGACACCCAGAAAATCAAAAACACAGAATGGAGGCCACTTTTGAAGATGCTGACATGACCTCATCCAGATAAAAAGATCCTGTGATGATGTCATGCCACCAGTTTATGGAAAATTAGACTCATAAATTAGTCCTATAAAAATATCTGAGTGAAAAAGACCTTTAGCAACCAAACAGCCACTCAACATCCATCCATCAGCAGAAATTAAATACACATTTGTACATCTTAAGTCCAGGTGTCATAATTTTTTGGTTAACAATGCAGCCTACAATAATCTTTATATTTAGGAATTAGGCAATAGGAATTTTACAGATTAACAGAAAAAGAAACACCAAAGCAAATGAGCGTAGAACCCATTTACAACAGAAATAATTAAATTGTATTAGGTCTACCTCTGTATACACTGTTTTTCTTACAGGAGTACTAATAATAATTCAAGTCTGTGGAAAGACTTCCTTTGGAATTGGATTGGACTCAGGTTGCAAATGCTTCATTCAGGAAACATATCTTGCTCCGCAATTTCCATTTAGGTTTCTAGACTATTTGTGTAAATAAGGGTTGTAGGACTGGGCCCTGCATTTGTGAAGTGGTGTGTGACTTTTTAAGCAATAAACCAGATCCTGAAGTCCTTGCTCAAACAAAAACTCCAATTAACATCAATAAGAGTTTGCCTCAACAGAAACAAAGCACCTCGGGATTCAGTCCCATAGGAAATAATGTAGTTATTTCTATTCCACTATAAATGTCTATGATGCTTTACAATACCTGTACATGCAGATAAAAACAGATGCTCTGCCCTGTAAGGTTTACAGTCTAGAGCACTATGCTCTAAATTAAATTAAATTAAAATGAGAACAAGAGGAAGTAAAGAGGAGCTGACAACACAGGAAAGTCTATGAAAAAAAAAAAAAAGGATGAGAGCATGGACAACAACAAGACAATAAAATAAAGAACACTAGAACAAAAAGAAAAGGCTCACTGTTGATAAGTATAACTGGAAAAAAATCATATGGACCTACCTCAATTTCTTCCTCCAGTTTATTAAGTGTCAATTCTGCATCATCTTCTGTTATTGCTTCTTCTTCTAGCTCCTCTGTTGGGTATGCTGGTCTGAAATAACATACACATTCATAGAACATTACAGCTTTCAAACCACACAATAAATGTACTTCTCAAGAACAACTATAAGCAAACAAAATTCTTAGGAGAGAGTTATGGATGCTGACTATGCCCAGGTATAATGAAGCACAGTGATGAGGAATTTACATAGACACAACACATACAGACTTGACCTGAAAAAATTTCAGTAGTCTAGGCTTAGGCCTGGTCTACACTACGGGATTAGGTCGAATTTAGCCGCGTTAGGTCGATTTAAAAATGAATGCATCCACACACCCAACCCCGTTCTGTCGACCTAAAGGGCTCTTAAAATCGACTTCTGTACTCCTCCCCGGCAAGGGGAGTAGCGCTGAAATCGACTTTGCTGGGTCAAATTTGGGGTAGAGCGGATGCAAATCGACGGTATTGGTCTCCGGGAGCTATCCCAGAGTGCTCCATTGTGACCGCTCTGGACAGCACTTTGAACTCCGATGCACTAGCCAGGTACACAGGAAAAGCCCCGGGAACTTTTGAATTTCATTTCCTGTTTGGTCAGCGTGGCGAACTCAGCAACACAGGTGACCATGCAGTCCCCCCAGAATAGCAGAGCGTAGAATGTTTCTACGCTCTCCCTATCATCTCCATCCCTGAGGTTATCGCAGATTAGAAGGCGAAAAAAACCGCACTCCAGAGGATGGTCCAAGTAACAGAAGGCTGTCATTCAAACAGTTTGATTTTTAGTGTGGCTACAATAAGCAATGTGGCCTTGTCCTTCCCTCCTCCCCCAGCCTACCTGGGCTACCTCGTCCGTCATCTCATTTTTTTTTTAAATTAATAAAGAAAGAACGCATGGTTTCAAAACAATAGTTACTTTATTTTGAAGGGGGGAGGGTGGTTGGCTTACAGGGTATTAAAATCAACAAAGGGGGTGGGGATTTGCATCAAGGAGAAACACACACAACTGTCACACTGAAGCCTGGCCAGTCATGAAACTGGTTTTCAAAGCCTCTCTGATGCGCAGCGCGCCTTGCTGTGCTCTTCTAATTGCCCTGGTGTCCGGCTGCTCAAAATCGGACACCAGGCGATTTGCCTCAACCTCCCACCCCGCCATAAACGTCTCCCCCTTACTCTCACAGATATTATGGAGCACACAGCAAGCAGCAATAACAATGGGAATGTTGGTTGCGCTGAGGTCTGACCAACAGCGCCAGCGAGCTTTTAAACGTCCAAAGGCACATTCTACCACCATTCTGCACTTGCTCAGCCTATAGTTGAACTGCTCCTTACTACTGTCCAGGCTTCATGAACGGATCCCCCGAGCTCGTCGCAGGGAGCAGGAGAGCAGAGTTGCAGGGGAAGTGATGGAGCTGTACACCATGCCCTGGAGGTTGCTAGGAGCCGGGCAGGGAAGACGTTCCCAGAACCCTCGGCCAAGCTACATGTCCGGCGAGGACGGTTACCAGTCCTACTGCATCTGCTGCCAGCAGCACCCAGGAGGACCAGTATGGATCCCCCGAGCTCGTTGCTGGGGAGCAGGAGAGCAGAGTTGCAGCGGAAGCGGTGGATGACGACGGTTAGCAGTCCCACTGCACCGTCTGCTGTGAAGGCAAGGAGCTGCTGCTGTGTAGCAATGCCAGCTGCTGCAGGTGCTTCTGTGTCGAATGCTTGGAGGTCCGAGTAGGGCAAGGTACCTCGGCTAAGGCAAAAGAGCAAGAGCCCTGGATCTGTTACATGTGTCAACCACAGAAGTGCTATGGAGTGTTGCAGCGCCGACCAGACTGGAATGTACAGCTGCAAGACTTCTTCACCAGCGACAAAGGACAGGAATATGATGCACCTAAAATCTAAAAAGACCCGCACATTTCCCAGAGTCACTACCCTTGATAACAGAATGTCAATGATTGCATTGGCTACTTGGGTCACAGCAGCCCCCACAGTAGACTTGTCCACAACAGCAGCGGTGACGGTGAGCTGAGCGAGCTCCATGCTTGCCGTGGTATGGCATCTGCATGGGTAACCCAGGAAAAAAGGTGCGAAATGATTGTCTGCCATTGCTTTCATGGAGGGAGGGGCAACTGATGACATATACCCAAAACCACCCGCAACAATGTTTTTGCCCCATCAGGCATTGGGAGCTTAACCCAGAATTCCAATGGGCGGCGGAGACTGCTGGAACTGTGGGATAGCTACCCACAGTGAACTGCTCCGTAAGTCGATGCTAGCCACGGTAGTGAGGACACACTCCGCCGACTTAATGCGCTTAGTGTGAACATTTGCAATTGACTGTATAAATTCGATTTCTAAAAATTGACTTCTATAAAATCGACTTAATTTTGTAGTGTAGACATACCCTTAGAACTCAATGCATGGATTCATTATTGTGCCAAACCTTAGTTTCTCTGTTGTGAAGACACCTAGGGATTAGATTCAGATTCATTTTCACTTGTGACTTAACCTTAGAAGATTCAAGCATGAGTCACTACAGATTAATTTTTGTCTTATTGACAAAGTTTAAGTGATACATAATAGTAAATAGTATATGTTAGCCATTAAATTCATTTCCTCTGTACCATTTCAGAACCAAACTAAGGATTTTTTTTGAAGTGTTTTTAAACAAAATTTCGCTTCTTAGAAATTCCTCTCCACTCACCTTTCTTCCAAATTTTCCTTCTGATCACAATATGTATTGAGCTTATTGTTTAATTGCATCTAGACTCTACAGTTCACCTTATTTACCATTGAAAGAGCCAGATTAGGTATGGAGACGTTATAACAAGACATCAATCAATAGGTCACTAACCAAGTGTTTGACTAGCAAAAGATAATACTATACAGGAAGATAAACGAGAGCTATCAAACTAACCCAGCTAATCTAATCTAGTTAAATGAAAGAAGAGAAAAAACAAAAAACAAAACACCACACAATTGTCCAAATTCAGCTCTGGTGTAACTCCACCGAATTGAGTGGTAGTGCACTAGGAATTAATTTGTCCTACTGTTACAAGCTTGACTGAACTAATCTTTTGAACCTAGTGAAACTACAAATAAAGCTTTAACACTTATTTGTTCTGGCTTCATTAATATACATGAGGTTTGTCATCCTGTACGATTACCATTTGTTCATTTGAAAACAAGTTATACAGAGGGATTCTTATAAGTACACTATACCTTTTCCAGCTAAAGTCAGTATGTTTCAAGGCTTCTTCAGCTAAACAATCAAGAACATAACATGCTTGCTCTCCATAACCTGCCTTTAACTTTGAAGGAGGAAAATCCACAGACCTCCCCTAAAACAAAGAGATACATGATCACTGGCCAGCAATTAATAATGTTTTCTTTCAGACAGGTAACCAGATTTTCTACACTAATACCAAACAAAGTGTTCACAGCATACCGTGCTTCTACAAATTTCTACCCACTTTTATTTAACTATTTATTTATTAGGAAGTTTTAACAGGTTTACAAATCCTTGCCATGTAAATATCAGAGACTAAACAATAATTATAATAAGTGTGCTTTTGTTTAGAGAAACATTATTCTGTAATATAATCATCAGATCTTTCTATTTAACAGGGTATTACCACATTACAGAGTGAGCATATTTACACTACTCCACACTGTTTCTAGTGATTTTATTAAATTATGTGAAATCACTAATTACACATATTTAACAAATGAGGCATGTCTATTGAAAAAATTGGCCAGGTGTGCTGGTTTTGTTTTTGACAGATGAACACACGGAGTATTGAATAAATCTAAATATCTATGTATCCTCTGTTTTGATGGGTACATAATTCGTGCATTAATTTTTCCATATTTCTTGAACAATTCCTCTAGAGTTGGATGCACTATTTTTCTTTTTCCAATGAGAGGCTATCAACAGCCAAGCAGTTACTAGCAGATGAGAAATTAATTCATTCCCTTGTGTGTGACCATTTCCACCAGAAAGCCGCAGGAGGGTTAAGTATCCAACAAGTTGTAATATTTGATTATGAATCATATCCCAATACTCTCTAATGACTGGACATAAAATCTCTTTCACCACACTTTCTCCAATATAGATAAAAAGATCGAATGGGGATACATTTTTAACCTGACTGGCATGAGGTACCATTCAAACAGTATCTTAAGAAAATTTCTTTTATCATGCTACAGAGTGAGAATGATAGCCCTCTTTTCCAGCTCAGCTCTCATTCGTCTGGGGTAATTTGTCTGTCCAGGTCATTTCCCAGGTCATATATATGGACATGTTTTTGTTAGGAAAGTTGTCTGCAAAGACTGATGTAAAATAGTTATTTTTATGTTTCCTAATTGGCCTGACTCCATCACTTCTATTCAAGTTAGCTTTCTGTATATGACAGTTTTTCTAGAAAGTTGGGACATATAATGCCACACTTGAAAGTAGTGATACCATGGGAGAGTAAGTTGGTTAAAGTTAGTTTTGATCTCTAAATAAATTAGAAAAGTTTCTTTGCTGAATAGCTGGCCAACCATATGTAGTTGATGGCTCCCCCATTCTTTAAAACTCTCTGGTTCAAGATCTGGATATTTGCAATGGGTGTCATTGGTGAGGGGAAAAAATTATTTATAATTCTATTCCAAACCCAAAGAATAACCGTTGCTATTTCTGAATTGAGAGAATTTATTATTATTATTAATAATAATCTGTCGTAGTCTAGCAATATTTACACTGCTACAATTTTCTTGTTCCATAAAGATCCAGTGTTTGGCTGAGTTTGAGCATCCCCAATGCACTACTGCTTTGAGATGGGTGGCTTGACATCAGAGAGTATTTGGAACAGCTAGGCCACTCTGTTCACTGAATTTGTACAAAGTATCTGCACTCACTCTTGGTCTTTTCTTATTCCATATAAATACTAACATCCTTTATATTTCTGTAATCTTGAAACAAGAAAGAAATCTTTGGCAAAATATTCATTTTGATTGAGTTTATTTTTCCCAAACAAGAAACTGCATACTTCCCTGAGCACTGCAGATCTTTATTTTCTGAAATAGTGGTTTGACATTTAAATCATAGTGCTCTAGGTTGTTTGAGATTTGAATTCCCATGTATTTTATAGAATTTGTTGCCCATTTGTACCCAAATATTTTCTGGAAGGACTTCAGAGTCTGGCAAATATATAGATAGCTAGCATTTCAGATGTGACAATTTCCTTTCAGTCTAAACACTTTCCCAAAGTCATGGATTTCTTTAAATACTAGTTTTAGGGAAATGTTTGGGTTAGGTAAAAATAATTACATATCATCAGAAAATAGCTTTATTTGCTGATGTGTTCCTTCAAATTCTATTCCTGTGATAGATTATTGTTCCTATCTCCTGTTTAATCAGCTCTATGGCCAGTGCAAAAAGTAAAGAACACACTGGACACCCTTGCTTAGGCCCTCTGTGTAATTCAAACAGGGGAGATTTAGTCCTATTAACTCACACAGCTCCTTTTGGGCTTGGGTAAAGAGCATTTATCCATTTAAAGAACTGGGGGGCCATCTTCCATACAGGACAGGGCTTATAATAGAGTGTAACTTTCCGTTTCAAAAGCTCTCTCTGTCAAGTGGTAACAAAACAAATGGGGGATCTTGTTTTGATCTGGAATTACGGATTATTCCAAGGACTCATGAATAGCATTTGTTTATCCTAATGAGTCCAGTTTGATCTGGGTTTGCATAAACTGAGAGCATGGACTGCAATCAGATAGCTAGTATTTTTGCTAAAATATTTATGTCATGATTCAGCAGTGATACATGGACCTGTAAGAGCTGCATAAGGTAAGGTTGTTTCCAATTTTAGGGAGAACATTGATAGGAACTTCCACAACTTATGAAAGAAACTAACAGAATGGCACAGAAGGTACCCCTCAAGTGACCCCTCCCCCCACACACATGCATCCTTGGGGAAAAAATCTGCAGCCATATGGGGAGGGAGAAATCAATAGCTAATGAGAGTTGGGAGTCCCGGGAGTATCTTTGAGAGGGCAACAATGGTTTTGGAGAATCAAGATCTGCAAGGCAGCTGAATGGGCAAGGCGGCAGGTAGGGGTAAATGAAAAACAGGCAAGGAACAAACGGAGTAGAAAATAGGGCATGGGAGGAGAAGCAGCAGGTTCTCACCAGCATACAGTTTGCTCATGTTCTTGTTTATAATTTTTCTGTTTATTACTGTCCTAGAGAAGGAACAGTTGCATAAGTTGCTATTTTGTTTATGGAAGAGCATCCTTACCATTCCAAGGAGATGCTCCATTATTAGACGCTTCCATAGGATGGCACTTTAAACATTTTAAAATAGAGTATTCATTATACAGTTTCGCTTTTTCCAATAGGTTTTGAATAGCTATTGGTTGTCTCTGGTTGCAACCCTCCTCTAGTTGCTGTCCATGGAATATCTATCCTCATCAGTTCTTTCTTTTAATTCAATTTTAACTCTTTTAATTTCTTTGTTGGAAAAACATTTCCCAATAGTTCCTGTCAACAGAGCAGTTTGTGTCTGACTTTTATTCCTTAATAGAAGAAGAAAGAACTCCAAAGTATGAGCCTAATTCTGAATCACTTACATCAATGGGAATTTTACCATTGATTTCAACAGGAGTAGGAACATTAACATTTGTACAAGGGTTTAAGAGAAAAATCTTCAGTATCTATATAGCAGTGTATTTCCCATGTATCTATTGTGGCAATGGAAAAAGTACGTCTGATTTAACCCATTTTACAGAATGCTAAACTCAACTATTTTCGTGGAACACTGCTTCCTCTTCTACTGAGGTGGAGGCCATCCAAACTTAGCACTCTCTCCCCTTAGAAGATTGGCTAATCTCCTGAGGGACAAACTGTCTAGTGTAGTCAGGAGGGCGTTAAACTAAAAACAAAAGGGGAAGTTTAAAAAGAGGGAAAATATAAACACTCACTTCGCACAAAGAGGGAGGTTGAGAACAAAATTTTTCAAGGAACCAAAGAACATGAAGATAAAAAATTCCTGAATTGCCTATACACCAATGCTAGGAGCGTAGGTAACAAATAAGAGCAATTGGAATCACTCATTTAATTATCATAAATTTAATCTAGATGGCATTACTGAAACCTGGTGCAATGATTCACATGATTGCAATGTTAAAATCAATGGTTATGGTGATGCTGGCAGACCAGGTGCCAGCTTGTGCCATGGCCCCAGGCCTCACTGAACAGTTACAGATGCATAGCTGGCAACCAGTCTTGCTTTCCTGTGTGTTGGCATTACTAAAATAGATATTAGATGTTAAATTGCTAAGGATGTGTTTAGTATTTAGACTTCATGAAATGCTGGTAGGATGCATATATCACTTATAACTTTATACCATGGGACATAGAGATTATCTTGAGTATTTGCACCATAAACCTCTATAATTGTGTAACTCACCAAACAGGAAAAGGAGCACTGATTAAGGTAAAGTGCTCATCCATGGCCCATTGAAGGCACATGACGTATCATGTAGCATCAAAGGACAGAGACTTTGTTGATTTCATTCCATACTCCCTCCAGGAGGGAGAGACCTACACATGAACTCATCCCATCAGTTTGGATAAAAATCCCTGACAAGGAGAAATTGAATCTCTCTTTGCTGTTTGAGCTCTCATAGGGGTTGAGCTAAGAAACAAAAAGCAGAGACGACCCCCCCCCCGGGTCAACCTGGGTTAGCCCTAAAAAACATTCAGTGGACAGATTATTGCATCTCGGTCACCTTTTGGAACCACAGACTGTAACTCATTTGTGCTTATATGTTGCCTGCTTTAAGCTGTAAATAACTCTTTTTCCTACTTAATAAATCCTTAATTAGTTTACTGTAGAATTGGCTACCAGTGTTTGTCTTTGGTGTGACATCTAAGGTACAAATTGAACTGAGGTAAGGGATCGGTCTCTTGGGACTGGGAGCAACCTGAATATTTTGTGAGTTTTGGTTTAAGTGACCATTTATCATTAAGTCCAGTTCGCCTGGATGGCAAGATAGACTAGAGTGCTCAAGGGGCTGTCTGTGACTCCATGGTAAGACGGTTACAGTGATCCAGGAAGTCACATTTGTTACTAGGTTGGTGAAACCTAATTATAGAGCATACCATCAGTTTGCTGTGCCTGTCCTGCTTTGACAGTCTGCTCTGAGGATGGCACTCACGGCTGTGAACCACTCCAGACAGCATGACAGTTACAATCTATTTAGAAAGGATTGATTGGACAAAAGGGAAGGGGGAGTGGCATTCTAGGTAAAAAGAGTGGCATTACCTGTTTCCGAGTCACTGATAATTTGGAAGAAAACGATAGTGAATGCAGATAAAGCATGAGATGGGGTATTAGTTGGTGTTTGCTACAGAACACCAAATCAAACAAGGGAACAGAATGACCACCTTCTTACGCAGCTAACTACACCTCTACCCCGATATAACGCGGTCCTCGAGAGCCAAAAAAATCTCACCGTCTTATAGGTGAGACCGCGTTATATCGGGTTCGGGCAGGTACAGCGTACCAGTAAGAGCCGGTACGCCGTGCCGGACTGGACCCGCTTCCCCGGCGGTGATTTAAAGGGCCTGGTGCTCCAGCCACTGCGGGGAGCCCTTTAAATCACTGCTAGAGCTCCAGCAGCGGGGCTTGGGTGGGGATTTAAAGGGCCTGGGGCTCCACACGAATTTGGATATAACGTGGTAAAGCAGCGAGGCTCGAGTGGCGCTTTAAAGCTCCCCACTGCTTTACTGCGTTATATCCGAATTCGTGTTATATTGGGTCACGTTCTATCAGGGTAGAGGTGTATAATGTCTTGGGGGAAAAAACCTATGTGATCATGGGAACTTCAATTTGAGTGACATATGCTGTGCAGGTAATAGAACATCCTTGGAATTTCTAACTCAAAATGTGTTGCATCCAACATGCAACCAAAGACAAACACTGGTAGCCAATTCTATAGTAAACTAGTTAAGGATTTATTAAGTAGGAAAAAGTTATTTACAGGTTAAAGCAGGCAACATATAAGCACAAATGGGTAGCAGACCTTGTCTTGACCGATAAAGAGGAACTGCTCATTGAACTAAAAATTAGTGGTAACTTAGGTACAAACTAACTTGATGTGTCTTTCTGATGAGATTACAAGTTTGATGGATAAAGGTCATAGCGCTGATAATATACTTAGGCTGATGTCTGCTCTGCCTCTTTGACGACAGCGACCTTAATAATTTCTGTGTGTTTACAGTGAGGGACTGGAAACTGCAGGGAAATGTTTCTGGGGAACAGAGAAACTGGGGTTCACTGAGTGTTACCTACAAGGCAAGGTTTGGACTGGCAGAGTCTCGCTGGGTTTACTGGCAAGGCAGATAGACTGGAGTGTCAAAAGGGAGCTGAGACACAGGTTAGCAACAGCACAGCTCTCAGTTGCTGTGGCAGAGGGGTAACACAGGATATGTTTACACTGCAATAAAACACTCCCAGCTGGTCCATGTCAGCTGACTCTGGCTTAAGGGGCTTGGGCTGTGGGGCTATAAAACAGCAGTGAAGACATTCAGGCTCCAGCTTGAACCCACAGTTGCTTACAGTTCTGGGTATCCTGAGGAGAGCAACACATGTATAACAAGATCCAGTGTCTGGAAGCTGAAGCTAGACAAATTCAGACCGGAAAAAAGGAATAAATTTTTAACAGTGAGGGCAATTAACCATTGGAACAATTTACCAAGAGTCGTGGCGGATTCTCCATCAATTGTTAAACCAAGATTGGAGGTTTTTCTAAAAGTTATGCTCTAGGAATTATTTTGAGGAAGTTCTATGACCTGTGTTATACAGGCAATCAGACTCACTAGATGATCATAACAGTCTCTTCTGGCCTTGGAATCTATGAACTACTCAGAGATTTGTGAGTGACAATAGCAGCCAAGGTTAAGAGAAAGCTTACTGTAGAATGAAGCCATTTTTGCAGTTCACTACAGGGAATTAGTGGCCCCAGACTTTATAAGCTTCATGTTAAGTTTCAGGATATGAAACCTACAAATAACAAGAGTCTGTCAAGTCTTCAGAACTGTGAGCATAGAGATTGAAGAAGCAATTGCTACCATTTCTGAAGTTTATAAGCACACCTAACACACTTTTGAAAACACAAAAATATGTTCAACACTTACAAATGATCGCAACTCTGAGAGTATGTTTGATATTGTTGCGTTGGGGTCATCATATTCTTGCGGCTGTTCAAAGGAATGTCCTGCTTTAGTAATCAGCCAAGCAGCAAGAGTGCAAAACATGTAGAACTGCTCTCCGGGATTAGTGGGCAATGCAAAGTAGTGCCTGTTTGAAAAGGGAAAAAAGTTAAATATGGGATTCTCTGAACCTGAGATGCTTCAGTTATAGGGTAACAGCATGGGGAAGCAGTTTCCTTAACAAGTCAGTTTGTGATAAGCTATTCATTTTTAGTAGCTTCCACCATAAATAAGGTCACAAAATGAGACCATCCAAGCCACTGGTATCTATCATGTATGTGACACACACAGAAAGACTAATTTCTATAAGACTACAGGTTTTACATGCAGTTCACGTTTCCTGCCTTGACTGAATGAGCAACCAACAAGTATGTTTTAATGATGTAATAATTTGTAAGTTGTTTTTGGAGCCCCCTATGGAACCAAACAGAGCTTGGTCCTCCCTCTCCAGCTTGCTCAAGTAGTTTCAATTGGGCTCATGCAGTTTCAATTACTCTGAATTGAGCTAGCCTCTTACTTTTTATAAAACCCCAAATAACTCTTCTACATCACTCTCAAACCCTTAAAATACAGTGGGCTCAATTCTCTTCCCACTGACTTCTGTGAATTCAGAATCTGGCCCTATTATTCCAAAGACATCACCATCAAGTGATCACCTTGCAAGGGTCTATGCAAAATGTTCCTGCCAACAAATTGTACACAGAATAACATTAATTTGACTGATAGTGAAACGTTAGAAATCTACCAAAGGAAAAAAATGCGGTATAAAAATAATTAGTTTCAATTCTCACGAGTGGCCACATGAAAAAAATTGATAATAAATCTATAGAAAAACAATACGCAAAAAAAAGAGATCAGTATCAAAGGCTTGTTAATCTTAATTATAAAAAAAAAAAAAAAAAAACAGGAAAGAATTAATTCCAAATTTAAATATAAACCCACATAGGAGAATACTAAACAAATACGTAATTTTCAAATCTTACATTTCTTAAAAAGACTTCCTTACATTTAGCAGGAAACCTCATTAGATGAAATATTAGACATTTGGGGGTTACAGTGGACGAGAAGCTGGATATGAGTCAACAGTGTGCCCTTGTTGCCAAGAAGGCTAACGGCATTTTGGGCTGTATAAGTTGGGGCATTGCCAGCAGATTGAGGGATGTGATCATTCCCCTCTATTCGACATTGGTGAGGCCTCACCTGGAGTACTGTGTCCAGTTTTGGGCCCCACACTACAAGAAGGATGTGGAAAAATTGGAAAGAGTCCAGCGGAGGGCAACAAAAATGATTAGGGGGCTGGAGCACATGACTTATAAGGAGAGGCTGAGGGAACTGGGATTGTTTAGTCTGCAGAAGAGAAGAATGAGGGGGGATTTGATAGCTGCTTTCAACTACCTGAAAGGGGGTTCCAAAAAGGATGGATCTAGACTGTTCTCAGTGGTACCAGATGACAGAACAAGGAGTAATGGTCTCAAGTTGCAGTGGGGGAGGTCTAGGTTGGATATTAGGAAAAACTTTTTCACTAGGAGGGTGGTCAAGCACTGGAATGGGTTACCTAGGGAGGCGGTGGAATCTCCTTCCTTAGAGGTTTTTAAGGTCAGGCTTGACAAAGCCCTGGCTGGGATGATTTAGTTGGGATTAGGTCCTGCTTTGAGCAGGGGGTTGGACTAGATGACCTCCTGAGGTCCCTTCCAACCTTGATATTCTATGATTCTATGAACTGTTCGTAGATGGGCCCAGGAAGAAGCCCAAAGAGGAAGAGGCAATGCAGAAGGACCCAGTGCCTGGCAAGTGGAAGACACATTCTTCGTTATAATAAATGGGAGGCCTTTTGGGCTATGATCCATATAAACTGTTATTTTGGAGGATATTACATGCAGGAGGTTGTATTTAACTTCTGTTGAGGACAGAAGGCATGCCATTTCTGTGGCGCCATTTCCCTGCTCCCCAACACCACATGGGATCCAAGGCAGATTCCCAGAGAGGAAAAACAACCAAGAAGCAACTAGCTTTGTTTATATTATTATTTACTAAAGCATGCTTATTTTACAATATGCTTATTGTTACAAAAAGGGATCTGGGTTATAGTCTTAGCAGGCACAAGTGCATGTTTTAGCAAGCTACTGGTCTGTTTTTAACTGTCATGCTGGAGCGCTGTTTTGAGTTTCACTGCTGTTGGCATTGCTGCAGTGTCCCAGGCTACTTTCATTACAAGTCCCAATGGCAACAAAGCTCCCTGAGGGCTATATTTTCTTGTCTAGTCACAGTATGCTGTCTGCGGTGGGAGAGGAAGGCTGTCAATTCTACAGCTATAAAGCATGTGCATCCTAGCTCAGCATATTATTGTTTTTTCCCCCCAACTTTTCACCCACGCCAGGCTGGTGATGCTTGAAAACCAGGTGGTAGAAACTCCAGATGATCAGTCAGATTCTGGGGCAGGGCATACTTGTAGTGCCCACCTCTGTAACTCACTAGCCCTCTCCATTCATTGTTATGCTGTTCAGTCACCAGACTCTTTAAAAAAAAAAATCTATGCAAAGGAGGTTTTCAATGTTACTGTAATATGCTTTGTTCTTAAATTGTTTTGGTTATAACGTAGGACAAGTCCAAGTTTTATAAAAAGGTTTTATTAGAGAATCTGAATCCATATGAAACTATATCCATATTGAAGCTCAACTGCCTACACAAAATATAACTGTGGAAAACATTCTTAGGGCTTCCAATTTTAGGTTTTAACTAGGGCTGGCAAGCGACTAAAAAAATAAATTGTGATTAATCGCACGATTAAACAATAATAGAATAACATTTATTTAAATATTTTTGGATGTCTTCTACATTTTTAAATATATTGATTTCAATTACAACACAGAATACAAAGTGCACAGTGCTCCCTTTATATTTTTGATTACAAATATTTGCACTGTAAAAAAACAAAATAGTATTTTTCAGTTCACCTAAGTACAGTAGTGCCATCTCTTTATCATGAAAGTTGAACTTAAAAATGTAGAATTATGTACAAAAAATAACTGCATTCAAAAATAAAACAATGTAAAACTGTAGAGCCTACGAGTCCACTCAGTCCTATTTCTTGTTCAGCCAATCATTCAGACAAACAAGTTTGTTTACATTTGCAGGAGATAATTCTGCCTCTTTCTTGTTCACAATGTCACTGAAAGTGAGAACAGGCGTTTGCACAGCACTGTTGCAGCATCGCAAGGTATTTACATGCTAGATGTGCTAAAGATTCATATGTCCTTTCATGCTTCGTCCACCATTCCAGAGGATATGCGTCCATGCTGATGACAGGTTCTGCTTGATAACGATCCAAAGCAATGCGGACCGATGCAAGTTCATTTTCATAATCTGAGCAAGATGTTACCAACAGAAGGTTGATTTTCTTTTTTGGTGGTTCGGGTTCTATAGTTTCCGCATCGGAGTGTTGCTCTTTTAAGACTTCTGAAAGCATGCTCCACACCTCATCCCTCTCAGATTTTGGAAGGCACTTCAGATTCTTAAACCTTGGGTTGAGTGCTGTAGCTGTCTCACATTGGTATCTGCTTTGTGTTTTGTCAAATCTGCAGCGAAAGTGTTCTTAAAATGAACATGTGCTCAGTTACCTGAGACTACTATAACGTGAAATATATTGCAGAATTTGGGTAAAACAGAGCCGGAGACATACAATTCTCCCCCAAGGAGTTCAGTCACAAATTTAATTAAGGCATTATTTTTTCAACGAGCGCCATCAGCATGGAACCATGTCCTCTGGAATGGTGGCCAAAGCATGAAGCATATCTGGCACGTAAATACCTTGCAATGCTGGCTACAAAAGTCTCATGCGAATGCCTGTTCTCACTTTCTGGTGACATTGTAAATAAGAAGTGGGCAGCATTATCTCCCGTAAATGTAAACAAACTTGTTTGTCTTAGCGATTGGCTGAACAAGTAGGAGTGAGTGGACTTGTAGCCTCTAAAGTTTTGCATTGATTTGTTTTTGAGTACAGTTATGTAACAAAAAGAATTCTACATTTGTATGTTGCACTTTCATGATAAAGAGATTGCACTACAGTACTTGTATGAAGTGAACTGAAAAAATACTATTTTATCATTTTTATAGTGCAAATATTTGTAATCAAAAATAGTAATAAAGTGAGCAGTGTATACTTTGTATTATGTGTTGTAACTGAAATCTGTATATTTGAAAATGTAGAAAAAGATCCAAAATACTTAATAAATTTCAATTGGTATTCTATAGATTAACAGAATGATTAAAACAGCGATTAAGTGCAATTAATTTTTTTTGATCGCGATTAATTTTTTGAGTAAAACGTGTGAGTTAACTACGATTAATCGACAGCACTAGTTTTAACTGATAAGACGCCCTCCAATACAAAACAAAAAAAAACCCTGCATTGTTTATTCAAACACCACCACAAAATCACCAGAAATGGTTACACAATTCGTGCTGACTTCACCCCTTTCCCAGTGCAGTATGTTTATACAAGCAACCAAAGCCCTCAATATACTGCAAAGCCCACATAAAATATAGTAGTGGCACATAAAATCCAAGGCCCATAACAGTTTACTAGCATCACACACCACCATCTACATCACCACGTGAACCTAGGATGAGGTTACATAAGGCATATCTGATATCCTTTGCCTGTTTGGATCCAGCCCCAGTAACGACAGGTGCACTTTCTGGTTGCCTGTATTGGCCCTGCAAACCAGCAGCGTTTTCAGTCCACTCCAAGCAAAAATGCTCTTCTCGTGCCTCACAGGTGTTGTGCAGTGTGCAGCATGCCACAATCATATTGGTAACACTGGGAAGGCAGCACAGTCTTTCCGGAGTCTGCCAAATGTGCACTCCATCCTCATCCTACAATCACTAAGCCTGAAACTGAACCTTCTTTTGCCAGGCCTTCTGAAGTCATGGTACAGTTTAATGAGTCATGTCAGGAAAGGGTATAAGCAGGATCCCCTAAAATTAGTGGGCACAGACACCCTATCACTTGGAGGGACTAGTGCATGCTTGTCCAAAAAGGTAAACACCAGGTCCCTCAGCACTTTGGCATAATGCACCTTGCCAGTAGACCCCTTGCTGGTGTTCATGAATCTGCACTTGCGGTTGACCAAGGCCTGTATAACTAGGAAGTAGTGCCCTTTGTGGCTAACATTCTCTTGCTCCTTGCAAATAACAAACTATGGGCATATGACTACCATCAATGACCCCAGCGCAGTTTGGGAAGCCCATTCCCTCAAAGCCAACAATTATTCCAGGAACATTAGGGCTGTGATTAACCCAAAGCTGGTGGGTGTAATCAATCACCTCACAACTATGAATGGTATGGAGAAAATGAATAGGAAAGTGTAATTTCCATATTCACACAACACAAGAACCAGGGATTACTCAATGAAATTAACAGGCAACATGTTTAAAACAAACATAAGGAAGTACTTCTTTATACAACACACACCAACCTGTGGAACTCCTTGCCCGGGGATGTACAACTGGGTTAAAAAAAAAAAGTAAGTTCATGGAGGACAGGTCCATCAATGGTTATTAGACAAGACAGTCAGGGACACAACGCCATGCTCTGGGTGTCGCTAAACCTCCAACTGCTAGAAGCTGGGACTGGATCACTTGATAATTGCCCTGTTCTGTTCATTCCCTCTGAAGCATCTGACACCATCCACTGTCAGAAGACAGGATACTGGGCTAGATGGACCATTGGTCTGAGCCAGTATGGCTATTTTTATAACCACAATCCACACAGACAAACTGCCAACACCAAACTGGTTAGCCACAGACTTGTAGCATTGTGGAGTAGCCAGCTTCTAGATGACAATAGCTACCCATTTCTTCAATGATATGGCCACACTCATATGCATATCCTGGCACTGGAAGGTCAGGGAAAGCTTCTCACACAGCTCCATGAAGGTCTATTTCTTCATGTAAAGGTTCTGGAGCCACTGACAGTCATCCCAGGTCTGCATGACAATGTGATTCCACCAGTCTGGGCTTGTGGCCCTGCTCCAGAAGCAAGAGTCTACATAGGGGGAATCCTCAGCTATGGTAGCAAGCATCAAGTGTGTCAAATGTGCTGCAGGTGCCATGGCTGTACCCTCCTTTAAGAACTGTTGCCACCACCTTCAAAAGGACAGACACCATCACTGAACTGTCCACTAGTCTCAATGACCTTGTGTGTGTGTCCTGCAACAACAGTGAAGCCATGAGCAGAAAAAGTTCTTCCACCATTGCTGGAGCCTTGGACTGTCTCTGGGTGGAATGGACAAAGCTGGGAACATGCAGACCTGGAAATGTCTTAGCTGGTGGGCTGAGAACACATCCACACAAGGCCAAAGGATGGACAGACAAGTTCTCCCACAATACCCCATGAACAGAGAGCTTTTGAGCAGCTCCAGCTAGCAAGGCACAAAGAACCCTGGATGCACACCAGAGGCTCAAGCTTCAAACAAAAGTCAATGCACCACAAATGTGAACAGGGCTACAGAAGTATGAGATGTGCACACCACTGCAATGTGAGGCACCGAAGTCACAAAACTGCATTAAAAATAATAAGATTTAAAACCAAAACAAAACAAACACACAGAGTTTTTATTTACTTTCTGTGTGTTGAATGTTTGGGATGCACTAGGATCACATTTTCATACTTTATGCCTGAACTATAAGGGCTAGATTTTGTTTTATATATATATATAAATAAATAAATAAAAAGAAATGGAGAATCTCATATATTCCTATGACTCCAAAGCTGGGGCTTTAAGGAACACATCAATTTTCATGGGACTTGTGACAAAATCATGAAAGTTGACAACACTGCAGTCTGCCAGTGTACAACAAGCTGTAAGACTGAGACCTTAGATTTTAAACGCTTCAGGGCAGGAACTGGCACATCCTCTTAGGTGCAAGTACTTCACACAACAGGATGGGGTCCTGATCCCATTGGGAGCCTTTGGGCACTAATACAGTATGAGTAATAATTTCACTAGTTCTCCAGTCTCTGTACAGTTATCCAAAGCAGATGAAACCTGAATATCTCATAATACTTATTTTTAAAAATAGACACAAACTTAAAGAAAAAAGACTTTGGGGAAGTTAATAAAGTTGACAAGAGTTAGGGCTTGTCTACACTTAGGCTATGTCTACAGTAGCACTTTTGTTGGTAAAACTTTTGTCGGTCAGGTATGTAAAAAAACCACACCCCGACTGACAAAAGTGCCAGTGTGGACAGCGCTGAGTCGGCGGGGGACACAGCTATCACCGCTCGTCGGGGGTGGTTTAATTATGCCCGGGGGAGAGCTCTCTCCTGCTGACACAGAGCAACTACACAGGAGACCTTACAGTAGCACAGCTGCAACAGTAGAGCTGTGCCACCATAAGGTCCATCACATAGCATAGTTTTACAGTGCTGCAGCTCTGTAAAAGATAGTGAAGATGCTACCTATGACAATGGGAAAGGATAGCTAGATTGGTATAACTACGTTGCTCAGACGTGTAGATTTTCCACACTGCTGAGCGATGTAGTTCTACCAACTTAAGTTTGTAGCGTAGACCAGGGCATAACTAGGCAGCCTGCGTACTGCAACCAGTGCCAATCCTGCTAACAAATATCTTACCCTTCCCTTGTGCGCCCCTTCCCATCTGAACCTGTTCTCTCCCACCTCATGCTTTGGGAAAGGACCATCTTTCTTTTCCTAGGCTGTACAGGGCCAGGGACAACAGGGTCCTGGTCCACGACAAACCCCCACTCCCGTCCAAGAAGCGAGCAGCAAACCACCCCTACCCTCACCGGGGATGTGTAGGGGGGGGGATGGGGGGGCTGCTGTCAAGAGGCCCCCGTACATTAGGGTTACCATACATCCGGATTTACCTGGACGTGTCCGGCTTTTTGGTCCTCAAATCCCTGTCCAGGAGAAATTTCCAAAAAGCCGAACATGTCTGGGAAAATAGGGAGGCATGGTAAGGGGACCCCGAGTGCAGGTGGCTGCAGCAAAGCCAAAACGAACAACTCCGCTGATCTGCCGGGGCCTGGAGACGGCGGCATCCGAGCGCGCAGCCGCCGCCTCCTCCCCAGGCTCCAACTTTCCCGGCTCCCTCCGTTCTCCACCGCGGCGGGGGCCGAAGCAATCCCCAGCGCAGCAGCAGCTGGAGCCCGGGGGGCAGGAGAGGGAATACGGAGTGCTCAGGGGAGGGGGCGGAGTTGGGGCAAGGACTCTGGGGAAGAGGTAGGAATGGTGCCGGGGCAGAGTTGGGGCGGGGCCGGGACGCCCGTGGAGTGTCCTCTTTTTTCACTGTTTAAATATGGCAACCCTGCCGTACATCCCCGTGCCCCAGGCACCCAGACTGTGGTGCGGTCAGACCCAGCTGCCCCCGTTCCCAGCGCGGAGAGGAGGGTGAGAGACAACCAGCCCCCTGCCCCCGGGAGAGCATAGCCCGTCCCAGTGCTGAGCTGTGATCCCCGGGGGCGGCGGCGGCCCCTTCAATCCCGGCAGGCCCCGCTCCCGGGGCGCCGTCCCCTGCCCCTGTGTGGGGGTGGGGCGGGGGAATCTTCTACGCAGCCCCTGCCCGTCACGGGTGAGAACGGTCCCAGGTCATAGGCGCGAGCCAGCAGCGGGGCCAGAGGTCACCGGCCGGGTCAGGGGGTCACCTGGACAAGGGCCGCAGGTGGTGGCGCCGCAGCGCCTCCTCCTCGTAGTTCAGCAGCTTCAGCTTCTCCAGCAGATCCTCCATCATCGCAAACATGTGATAGGCCGCGCCCGGGCCCCGCTCCGCCGCCTCCAGCTCCTCCGCGCCGCGGCGGATACCGCCGGGGGCCTCCTCCGCCATCAGCCCGCAGAATCAGACCCGCAGCCCAGGCGCGTCACCGGGGAAACAAACTCCACCCCCTGTCCCCACGCCCCGCCAGCGTTCCACCAATCACCTCTTCGCCACGCCAGCTACTCTGAGCCACCAATCATTTCCCCGCTGTGGCTCCTACGTTCCACCAATCAACTGCCCAGACTCTGGCCCACGTCCCTGCTCACTCATCCAATCACCTCTTAGAGCCCCGCCCCCTCATCAGAAGCGTCTTAGAGTGTAAAGGGCTTGATTCTGTGCTACACATTTTGTGTGCGTCACTTCCGCTCGCGGACTATAGAGGAAAACCATAGAGACTGGGCAGCATAGCTACGTCGCCGAGCAGTCACTGCCCTCTCTTCCGGTGGGGGGAGAAGAGGCTTTGCGTCTTCTCCCCCGCCACCCGCTGATTGGCTAAACGCAAAAAGGGGCGGGAGGAGCCGTAGGAGCGTCCAAGGGGCGGAGCTGAGTGCCAGAGCCGAAAACTGATTGGAGGAACGGCCAGAGGACCGCCCCCTCCACTAGAACGTCTTCGCAACCTGCGCGGGGTGGGGCAGAGAGGGGGGGCGCTGTGACTGCCAGAGGCGCCCACGGTGGGGAGCAGGCGGGGGAGCCCCTGCAACGGCCCCGCCCACCGTCCCTGCTGCCCGCATCCTCGGACACGCTGCGCTGCAGCAGGGCTGCCCCTGGGCTTCAGGGCAGAGGTGAATGTGGCTGAGATAACGCCCGAGCTGTGCCCTGGGGACGGGGCTGGCTAGGTGTGGGGGCAGCTCGCTCTCTTGCTGTCTCTGGCGCGTTGAGTTAGTGCCCCAGACCTGAATGAGAACTGGGCATAAGCCTGAAAGCTTTGTCTCGCTCCCCAGCAAAAATGGGTCCAATCAAAGATATTACCTCACCCTCCCTGTCTCTCTCGCTGGGGTATGGCAGGGTTTCGGTGTGTGAAAGCTCCACGCCTGTTGTTTTTTGGGGGATGGGCAGAAGGGTAAGTCCAGGGATTCGGGAAGAGGGATGATTTCCACTTGCTACTGAGGATTAATTTGGCCTAAGCCTGTCCATTTCCCATTGTCAGTCTTAGCTTGGCAGCGCCTGGCTTTTAGAAGATGAAATTCATCTGCTGCTCCATGAAAGACACAAACCCAGCTGCATACAAGGGCACTACCAAATACCTACTGGGAAAGATTTTGCCTGTCCCCCATATCTTTCAGCTGCAGTAAATGTATGAAGTAATTGTAAGAGCAACACACCTTTCAGCCCTCATGTCTTTTGGCATGGTTCAATAGACTTTTGACCTCCAAGGAATGTTGCTTACCCATTACCCAACCCACCTCTTTCGATAGAGAGGCATAGTTCAGTTTTGACCAGCTGACTATGTGGCAGCACTGATTTCATTTACTGTGAGTACCATTTTTGCAATTTAGACCAAATGCTTAACAAAAATACAAATATGATTAACTGCTGTTAAAGATGGGGAAATATGAGTTGTGCTATTTTAAGAATAGATTTGTTTGGTCAGTAATTTAACTATGTTTAACTTATTAAAAGGTACTTTCAAAACTAAAATGCCATAATTATCCTATTTATTCCTTTAATACATTTGTTCATCGGTTTCTTACTTAGTCTGTTGCCTGACCTCAGGCTCACAATTCTTTCTCTGTCTAAATTTCAACAACAAATCTGATTTTTTTTTATTTACTACCATTAAGTTTGACTTGCTAACAACTTTTCAAAACTAATGTGAATTCAAATCTCTGACAGTCAGTAAGAGTATATTCAGTGTGGTTGTAACTCTGTCAGTCCTATTCTTAATATATAGTCTTAATGGAGAGACAAGGTGGATGTGGTAATATCTTTTATGGGACCAGCTTCTGTTTTTTTTGGTTTTCATTTCAGATGGCTAAATTTGGTATCTTCCACTGTTCTATGCAGTGTAGTTGTAGCTGTGTCTGTCACAGGATAGCAGAGGGACAAGGTGGTTGAGGTCCAAGAAGAGATTACCTCACCCTCTTTGTCTCTCCATTAAGAATATACTCACAACAAAATGTTTAGAAGCTCTAACAACTTGAATAATATTACACTAGATCAAACATGGCTTGGTTCTCTAGATCAGTCCCAGACTTGGTAAAAATCAGTGGATATACTAGCTATCTTTTATTTGTGCTAAATGGAGGGAGCAGTTAAATGCCCCTTTGTGTAGTGATAGCTGAAGGAAGAGGACACTAGCACACAGGGCAAGCCCAATCAGAAGCTAAGCCATGTAGATAGAAGGGTTTACCTGGGGACTGACTGGAAAAGCAGAGATTGAGGGATTGATTGGTTGCATTTTTGTGTGTTTGAGAGAGAGCGAGAGAGAGCTTTTTTGGGCACAGGACTCACTAGAGAGGCAGGCTCAGATTTCTGAGTATGGAAAACACCTCCTGTTTAACTAGCACAATTCAGGGCATCAGCACCTGTACTCCCCCTGTGTGGTCCAGCAAGGGCACCTGCTCAAGGCTTCTGGCTTCCCAGCTGTTGCTGCTGTTGGGTGGAGATATGAGTCTTTTTCTGACGGGTATTTCCATGCCGAACAGTTTCCTGGCTATACTGCAACCTCCCCAGCATCAGCCAGACTACCTAAGCAGGCTTACTTCATTTCTCTCCTCATAGATGTACACAGTGTAATTGCCACAGTTAAGTTACCACACAACTCTTTATAGCAAGCACATTTATTCTCAAGGTGAAAGCATTTTAGAAAAAACATATTAAAAACAAAAGAATCTATACACATGCTAATATTCTTACCAGAGATCACCTCATCACTCCCGAAAGGGCTTTGGTTGGTGATTAGTCTTTCAAACCCCACATAGGGGTCTCTCCTGTGGTCATAAAATCATCACAGCTTCAACTCAGAACCAGCACATTCACTCTTGTGTGGCCTCAGTAGGCCAAAGCCATTTCAACCCTTTCCTAAGGAATGGGGCCTTCTATGGACTGGAGATCCTGCCTGTTTGCTGGATCAGTTTAAACTGAGTTTATTTATCCCCAAATCCTTTCGCTATTGGTCCCTGGAGAATCCAGTTTCAACCAGTATATGCAAGCCTCTCTTTAGGCGGTGGTAGCTACACATCAATCATCATGGCAAATTCCAAAGGAACGTAGCTTCCTTTCACATTGAAAGCCAGCCAAATTGATCTCTAGCTCAGTCTTTAAGACAGTCTGACTGGATGTTCGGTCTTTCTGTCATTGGTGATCTTACTGCACCACCAAAGCTTTTGCTGACCACCTGATTACTGACCATGTAGTGGCATTCCTTAGTAAATGCACTCTGTAATTTGTTGGTCTTCCATCCTAATAATATGTCCATACCAAGAAAGCCACTGAAATTGAACTACTGCTGATGGAGGGAGTTGTTGGGTTCAGCTACCAATACCCTCATTGCTGAGGTTGTCCTGCACTTAATATGGAGCAGCTGGTGAAGACAAAGAATCAAAAATGTCAGTCTGCCACTCTTCATCCTTCCTCACTGCCCACAATACAGTTGGTATAACCATGGTTCTGTAGAGCCGCAGCTTTGTAGTAATCTTGGTGGCCCAACGTCTCCACGGATGCTGCTGAAGGGCCTGACACACATGGTTGCTGCTGTAAGAGCACGCCCATCTTTTGAGCATCCTCCAGCACTGACTGTTGCTTCCGAAGTACAGTATTTGACAGTCGCTACCTGCTTGATATCATGTCTGCACAAGTTAATACTGCACTGGTAGTAATCTGGAGCTGGAGGCTACTTGATGGTAATAGCCAGTGACTTAGTTGTATCTGGATTAATAACCAGACCAACGTGTGCTGCGTATTGCCTGACCAGACTGGCCATTAGCTGCAGCAGTTCACCAAACTGAGCCAACAAAAAATAAAAATGGAAAGAGAATGGTGAGGGGAAGAAGGTGCCCCTCACACGAGGGAAGGGGAGGCCACACAGACACTCTGCCATGGTGGAAGGTGGAAAAGAGGGAGCATAGAGAGCCCCTGAAATAGAGGGAAAGTGGGCATGCAGTTCAGTGTTCACTGTTATCCATTCTACTCTATATCATATGAATCATGGATATGAGTTCCAGGTTGTAAGGTCTAGCTGACATTTAAGTTTTGCTGCTATACTGGCAAAACCCTCTTAAGTGTAGATGCAGTTTATACCCCCCAAAAAAGTGCTTTTGCTGGTATAGTTTAGTTTATGCTACTTTGGCAAGCAAGATAAAATATAGTGGCAAAAGCCCTTTTATGCCAGTGTAACTGCTTCTACTAGGGCTTTTGCTGGTTTAGAAATGTAAAACACACAAAATCACACCCTTAACCAACATTGCTATACTAGCAAAAGTTTCTAGCACAGACCTGGCTTCATTCTAGGACAGGGGTGAGCAAACTACGGCCCAGGGGCTGCATCCAGCCCTCCAGAGGTTTTAATCCGGCCCTCAAGCCGGGGAGTGGAGTCCGGGGCTTGCCCTGCTCTGGCGCTCCAGCCAGGGAGTGAGGTAGGGGGTTTGCCCCGCTCCACTTGGCTCCAGAAGCAGTGGCATGTCCCCGCTCCGGCTCCTACACGTAGGGGCAGCCAAGGGTTCTGCATGCTGCCCCCGCAGCACCCATTGGCCGGGAACCGTGGCCCATGAGAGCTGCAGGGGCGGTGCCTGCGGACAGGGTGGCATGTGTAGAAGCCAGAGTGGGGACATGCCGCTGCTTCTTGGAGCTGCTTGAGGTAAGCGCCGCCAAGAGCCTGCACCCCTGAGCCCCTCCTGCACACCAACCCCCTGCCCCAGCCCTGATCCCATTCCCTCCCTATGAAACCCTTGGTCCCAGCCCGGAGCACCCTCCTGTACCCCTAATCCCCAGCCAGAGCCCTCACCCCCCTGCATCCCACCCCCAATTTCCTCACGAGCAGTCATGGCCCGCCATACAATTTCCATACCCAGTTATGGCCCTCGGGCTAAAAAGTGTGCCCACCCCTGTTCTAGGATGACCAGATGTCCCATTTTTATATGGACAGTCCTGATATTTGGCGCCTATTACTCCCCACCCCCCGTCTTGATTTTTCACACTTGCTGTCTGGTCACCCTACCTCTTTCTGACTTTTAAACCACTTCTGCCTTTTTATTAAAGAAAAAAAATGTAGTGTTGGCATATACTTCTTTATGAAAAAAATCAGTTCCCAGTTAAGTAAAGTGCCCCCAAGAGGAATGGCGCCAGAAAAAATAGCACAAAGAGAACATATTACAGGATCCCAGAAGACTTCTCAACTTTTGGCTACTTCTGCTGAGTTGCTACATACATGCTGGTTTCTGATAATTTCTGAAGTAACCCATATAAGGATCCACCACTGTAAACTGAAATTACTTAGTTCTGGAACACACAGCAGTATCATGTTGCCCCCTTTCAGTCCTGGTTTCTGAAATACAGAGACAGCATACAAGATAAGGGGCTTCTAACATGTAAAATGCGCCCTGGATTTGGTCTATCGCAATTAGAGATGGAAAACATCTAGGGTTTGGCTTCCTTGAGCTAATGCAGAGATTTAACAATGTATAGACTGTAGTCGTATTCATTTTTGTGCAACAAAAGTCATCTGGACTAATATGCTGCTTTGGTTACCTGCAGCTTTCCAAGTTAGCTTTACTTCCTTATTGGTAGAAGTATCAAGAGCTTTAATTCTTGTAAGCACTTACACATACTTTAAATCAGCTGTTGCCAGGTTACAATCATAAAGAGAGAGTAAACGATCATCTGAAATGCCGTATGCTAAGGAATAAATAAATCCTTGTTCTGAAACCAGACACGTTTTATAGGGTCAAAATCTGCTTTTATTTTCACTGGTAAAAATAGAGTTACTCCACTAGGAGTGTCACAGATAAACTATCTGTTCCATCTTGTGTTTATTGGTGGTGCTTGTAGTACCTTTCCCAGACCTGAAGAAGAGCTCCGTGTGGGTCAGAAGCTTGTCTCTCTCACCAACAGAAGTGGAGCCAATAAAATATATTCTCTCATCCACCTTCTCTCTCTAATATCCAGGGACCGATCCAGTGGTGGATCCTTATACAGCGACACTGCACGAGCAACAAAAGGGCAGATGAAATTCAATAGTGATAAATGCAAGTAATGCATCTTGGAAAACAACTACACATATATAATGATGAGTTTTAAATTAGCTGTTACCACTCAAGAAAGAGATCTTGGGGTCATCGTGAACAGTTTTCTGAAAACTTCAGCTCAGTGCACAGCAGCAGTCAAAAAGGTTAATGGTATGTTAGGAACTATTAGGAAAGGGATAGAAAATAAGACAGAAAATATCACGATGTCACTAATCCATGGTGTCCCCATAGTTGAACACTGTGTCCAGTTCTGGTCACTCATCTCAAAGAAGGATACAGTGGAAGTGGAAAAAGTTCAGAAAAGAGCAACAAAGATGATTAAGGGTACGGAATAGCTTGCATATGAGGAGAGACTAAAAATATAAGGGCTGTTCAACTCAAAAAAGAGATGATTAAGGGGGGATATGATAGAGATCTATAAAATCATGAATGGCGTGGAAAAAGAGAATCAAGAAGTGTTATTTACCCTTTTCCATAATACAAAACCAGGGGTCACCGATGAAATTAATAGGCAGCAAGTTTAATACAAACAAGAGGAAATATGTTTGCACACAATGCAGAATTAAGCTATAGAACTCATTGCTATGGGATGTAGTGATGACCAAACGTATAACTGGGTTCAGAAGAGATCTGGTTAGGTCCATCAATGCCTGTTAACCAAGATGGTCAGGGAGGACGTCTGTTGATACATATACTGGGAGGACATATTACTCCACACACTCCAGTCAGTTCAGTTCCCTGGGCTACAATGCCACAATTTCACACCTGCCCTCTAAAATCCAATTTAGCTGTGAGTGCCATAGTTTTGATAAGGCGTGAGTTATTCTGTTTTAATAGCTCTATAAAGAGTCATACTGGCTTCATGCTAGGTTATTTTCAAGTGGTTATCATGGGCAGCCAGTGAGCTGACTGTTGGGGGGACGCTAGTCCCCAGCCTCTCCCCTTCTGCCCTCCCTCCTCCACAGTAGCCCAGAGCACCCCCACTGTGGCCTCTGGCCCCAGCGCCGGGTGGCTGGGCAGTGCGGCTGCAGCATGCCAGCCCCAGTGTGCCGGGCGGCGCGGTCCCAGCGCCAGCTGCCCTGAGTCCCCTTGGCAGACCGGCCAGCCAGTTTGGGCCAGGGCAGAGCATCGGGACCGCACCAGGCTGTCTGGGGAGGTCTATGATACCCACCTCCCATGACAGGTTTTGAAGAAGTGGGCTGTAGCTCACGAAAGCTTATGCTCTAATAAATTTGCAAGTACTCCACCTCCCATGGTGTTTACCCTTTTTACCAGGTTATTCAAGTGTCTTTCCTGAAGGCAACTCACTCCCCCTCCTTTTCCTGTAGTGATAACATAGTTTTACGCACTGTCAGAAATGGCAGTCACAACCCCTCCAGCAGGGTCATTGATATACTTTGTATCTAGACTACAGCTGTTTACTCCAACCTACCGTAATTACCTCTATTTTATCTGGACTGGGTTTTAAACTATTCCTTATCCAAGCGCTACACATCCTGGGTCATTCATGCAACTGCCACGAGGGTGGAGGGTCAGATGAGAAGTAAGATTAGAATTGGGAGGCTGAAAGGTAGGGCTAGACATATTGAATACCTTCCTTGTCCTAGCCTCCCCAGAGACATTTGCCTTATCATATAGATAAAATTGTAATTTACCCTCTAGGGCATATGTATAGTATGGTTTTCCACTGGGTAGAATTTGAAACCTACAGGGGTGTAGAACTGGACACTCACTGCTGTAGCGCCTCCTGCCGGTCAGTCTGGGAATTAGCTCAGGAGCGCCCTCCTCTGGTCGGTTTCTCTCCTGCCCTTACCTGCACCTCTGCAGTCCCTTTATCTTCACCAGTTCAGACCCCACATCCCTCCCAGACACCGGTGCCCCTTACCTTGGGTTGCTGCTCCATTGCAGTATCCCCACACTCTGGGTCTCCCCTCCCAGGGGAACCCCAAACCCCTATACCCACCTTATACCTCAGTGGCTACTGCCAGTCATCAGGGGCAAACGGCAGTCTGAAATGACCATTCATCACTGGCAAGGGGGTTGGACCTGCTGCCTTTTCTTGCCCTGTCTGCCTCCCTGCAGCCCTAGTACCTCCTCAAGCCTTCACTCAGGTGGAGCTGCAAATAGTCGATCAGCCTAGGCTCTGGTTCAGAGCAGGGCAGGAAACAGAGTCACTCAGCTCCAACCTTGTACTCAGGTGGGGCTGCAAACAATGTCAGGTAACTCAGGCTTTCCTTCAGCTAGCCTGAGGGAGGGGGAGACTGCTACCCACCGCTTGGGTGGCAGGGGGGACGCAGGCCCTCCCACTCCATTGCATCCCAGCCCAGGGCCCTAAGGGTGGTGGAGGGGTCTGCCACCACGTCAGCGGGGATCCAAGTCGTAACACGCTGAATCACCCTCTGCCAGCATTGCAGCCAGACAGGGGTCTACCACCCCTGGGCCACTTGCACTCTCCCCCTGCAAGGGTACCTGCTGGTCCACTGAGATAAGGTGATCAGTGGGGGCCTCAGTTGCCAGCAGAAGTTATGCCGGGGTTGGGCCAGTCGGCGGTCCAGGTCACCCATCTGTCTCCTGAGGGGTCGAGTGGTCCGGGCCAGTCATCTGCTTCTTGTGGGGCCAGGTCATCCAGGGGTCCGGGCCAATCATCTGCACTCTGTGGGCTTGCTGCCACCTCCCAGCATGAGTGCTCAGGGGACATATCTGTTCCCTCCAGTGGCTATTAAAGTTGATGGATGTACTAAGTACCTTTCTTTCAAGCTAAATGGAAGGAGGAATTAAATACCCCTTAATGTAGTGATAGATGTAAACAATAGACAGCCACTGCCTGAGGCAATGGGCCATACTGAACAGAAGCTAAACTATGTGGACTGAGGGGTTTCCCTGGGACTGATTGTGAAACACAGTGGTTTGGCGATTGATTGGTTGCAGCTGTGTGTATTAGAGGCCGAAAGCAGGAGAAACAGGTGTGAGCAGGGCCCTTGGGGAGGAAGCCAAGAGACAGTGCTTCTTTTGGGCTAGAAGGGTAGACTTGGATTTCAGAGTGAAAACTACCTGCTATTAGGTCCTACCGTGTTCAGGGAAACAGGACTTTGTGTACATTGTATGTGAATAAATAGGATTGCTCTGAAGAAATACCTGACTTCTCTCATCAATTTCTCCTCCTAAGAAAAACAACCCAGCAAGGCCCCAAGTATTGGCTAGCAAAGGGGTAACAGCCATAATAGTAGTGACTAGTGGAGAACGATTTTCCTTTGGCTCAAATGATAGAGGTCTGTGTTTCTAAAACAGGAGGCTCTACCTTCTATATCTTCCTTGCACCTCCACATCTGTATGGGCAGTTTAATTGGCAACCTTGATTTCGGTATACACGTGGCCATGAATTTATTTCAGTTATCCTCTATATAATCGAAGTTGACTTGCAAACTTTCTGGATGAAAGATGCTGCAGCACTGTAAATTATAACATGGAAGCAAATGAGATTAGAATTGGCTGGAACTCTCCAAGGGCCAGTTGTGCAGATTCTACAAACTGGACCTTACAGATCTGTTCACATACATTGGCAACAGGCTAACACCTGACCGTTTGCTTAAAGTTTCAACTCTATTACTTTAATTTCTAAGGGGAGCTCCCCTGCCTTCCCTCTTGCTGCTTCTCGCGGCCCCAGCCAAACTCCTAACTTAACCTTTGCTGTCTTATCATTTTATATGTGTTTTCAGGAGGTGTTGGATGTCTGCTTCATGTGTCTTCAGAGGGGACTTCCAGGTAGGGACACACTGTTATACTGCAAACCCATCTGGGTCTTTCTGATGACAGGAAACACCTGCCCCCAGCCATATAGGAAAGGGGGAATAGGAAAACACTTCCATTCCAGCAGCTTCTATAAAAGCAGAAGTCAGATAGTGCATCACATTGTATGTGGCTACAGAACCAACTGGTTTAAAAATGTTGACAGTATTGAACTTTTAAACTTAAATACAGTGCTTAAATCTGTAATGAAAGAGGTGCTGGGACTCAAGCAATGTTTTTACTTTTGTAACTGATGCAGCAAGGCAGAGGTGCCAGGGCTGTGAACTGCCCAGGCCTAGAAGTGCTGGGGCTCAGCCCTGGCACAAATGAAGCACTGCTTAACTAGGGGCTGTGTTGATATCACAGACACCCCGACTAAGGAAGAGATCATGCAAGCCATCAAATCCTTAAAAAATGGGAAAGCTCCTGGCAAGGATAACTTGAATGCAGAATTGTTCAAGGTAAATCCAGATTTAGCAGCATCTATCCTGGCCCCTCTAGTTACGTCAGTCTGGGAAAGGGAAAAAATGCCAGGTGAGTGGACCAATGGGGTTATAGTGAAGTTACCAAAGAAAGGAGCTCTCAGTGATTGTAATAACTGGCGTGGTTTCACACTTTGATCTGTGCCAAGCAAAGTCTTGTGTAAGATCATAGTCCAGTGTATATCAGATATGTTGATAGCATTCTCAGAAAAGAGCAAGCAGGTTTTCAGAAAGGGCATGGATGCACAGACCAGATCTTAACTCTACGAAACATAATAGAACAATGCTTAGAATGGCAACAGCAGCTCTACATAAACTTCATAGACTTTGAGAAGGCTTTTGATAGCATTCACAGGACCAGCCTATGGTGCAATCTGCAGGCATATAGAATCCCTCTCCATATAATCAACATCATCAAAAGTTTCTATTTCAACTTTACATGCAGTGTTGATCACCGTGAGCTCAGTTTTGAAGTCAAAACAGGAGTACATCAGGGGTGTGTCGTGTCTGCAATCCTCTTCAACACTGCCATTGACTAGGTAATGCAGTGTACAACAGAAGACATTCCAAGAGACATTAAATGGACACCCTTCTCATCCCTAGAAGACCTGGACTTCACAGATGATGTTGCTCTCCTGTCATATACCCAACACCATATAAAAGGAAAAACAACTTGACTCAATGCATTCAGCCAGCAAATTGGACTGAAAATCAATCACAATAAGACAGATAATATGACCTTTAATATTGCCTCGCCATCCTTGATAGAGGATTATGTTCTCACCAATGTAGAAACATTCACATACTTGGGCAGCACCATCAGCCAGGATGGTGGAACAAGCCAGGATATCCAGAACAAATCAATAAAGCCAGGAACACCTTCAGGAGCTTAAATACAGTCTGGAAATAATAAAAAATACAAAACCAAAACCAAACTCAAGATTTATCAGAGCTACGTACTTTCAACATTACTTTACAGTACAGAATGCTGGGGAATGACAATGTATGACATGTCCAAACTGTCTTCATTCCATACAACCTGCCTCAGAAAAATCCTCTGTACCTTTTGGCCCAGAACAATCTCAAACCAAGATCTATTGACACAGTGCAATCAAGAGGATATGAGCACCATCATTGCCAGGAGGCACTGGAGATGAATTGGCCATGTGCTTTGGATGGAAACTGATTCTATCACCAGAGTAGCAATATGATGGACACCTGAAGGCAAGTGAAAATGAGGCCGCCCGAAAACAACATGGCGAAGAGCTGTGGAAACTGAACTGAAAAACCTGGGACACAGCTGGGGAACCATTGAAAGACTTGCCAGAAACAGACAGGAGTGGAGGAGCTTCGTCACTGCCCTAAACGCTAGAAGCGTAATGGTAACATGATGATGATGATGATAAATAGGGGCAGAATTGAGCTGTTAGTTTAAATCTCACTGTTCTCTGAACTACAAAGTTAATTGCATAACTTTGCTGCATACAATAATTAGTCTTATCACATTTGTCTTTAATGGTTCCTCACAACAGATTAAAGACTGGTAATTTTCTTTTATGTGATATTATCAGTTTCCATTTTTGTTAAATCAAGTTTCTAGCCCTCAAAGTTGCAGAGAAAATCTTGAAAATATGAACGCTGAAGGTCCAGAAACCAGAAGACATTTCCCCCCCCTTTTAAATTGTGATTTTTAAGCCCCTTATGATTTTGGGGACCTGACTCCTGATTTTTGAATGCTTGGGATTAGCAGTGGAGTTGTTTGTACATTTCCCATTTAGGTCCATGATCATATAGCTGGTAGGTGTGGGCACACCCCTGCATTAGCCTGGAGCCCTGTTAAAGTCATTGAGGCTCCACAATGGTGCAAGAGTTCACCCACTTGAAACGTTGCAGAATCAGGACTTTAAACTCTTGATAACAGACCTGCACTATGTCTAGAAAGGCCCCTCCACATCTAGAGCTATATAAATAACATTATAATAATTGTTGATTGATACAGTACAATAGGATAAGCATTTTACAGACCTTAAACTGTTTTTTATTTCTCCTCTATGTTATCAGTTAGAAATGAAACTACTGTGAATCAAAGAAGACATGAAGGTGCAGAAAATACTCATCTTTCTGTTTCATTTGCATGCTGTAGTTTCAGGTAAGTTTTAGCTGTGTGTTCATGGAAATGATAAAGAAATTAAAGGTTTTTTTTTCAAGAGGTGAATTACTTAAAAGGGACATTGTCAAGATAAAAATCATGGTAAAGAATCAGCTTAAGGCACTCAATTGATATGTCACTCAAAGCAAAATAAGGATGTCCTCATAAATGGATTGAATTGCAGCAAAGGAAACACAAACTCGGCCATGCTTTTTTCTCCTTTGATATATGAAGGCAGCTTGAAGCACAAGAAAGCAGCAATCTAAGAACAACAGAGTTTCTTGAGTAGGTAGGTCTTAGTATGCTGGAACTTTCTGTTCTAAAGCATCAGCCCCCCCCCCCACTTGAGAATCTTCATTATCTGTAGCAGGTCTGTTCTCCTCTGTAGGCTGCAGCCCTCGGAATACAACATTATGATGATATACCCTTGAGCAGGCGTGACGTTCCATTCAATAGCCATGGTTAACATACAGTCACCCTAGTTTAAGTCAACGTTGATCCCAATTCCAAATATATCAATCAGACACCAATTTGTAACAATTCTCTGATTATACCGACAGTATCAATTATCAGCTATTCTACCCGATGTTGCTCCCCAGGTCTTCAGGGTAACAGCAGAGAGAGCACACAGGAACTTTAGATCCAAATCAACAGGCTCCCTACCATCTGAGATAAAAGAACCTCAAGTAATGCTATGTTTAACTTATAAAGGGCTATGGTTAATTAGCTAATGTTGGTACAGCGTACTGGAGCTGTAAAGCTCTAGAGTAACTCCTCGCTTAACGTTGTAGCTATGTTCCTGAAAAATGCTACTTTAAGCGAAAGGATGTTAAGCGAATCCAATTTCCTCAGAAGAATTAATATATATAGGGGGAGTTAGGTTCCACACACACACACACACACACTCTCTCTCTCTCTCTCTTTCGCTCTCTCTCTCTCTAAGTTTTAAACAAACAATTTAATACTGTACACAGCAATGATGATTGTGAAGCTTGGTTGAGGTGGTGGAGTCAGGCCTGGTCTTCACTGGGGGCGGGAATCGATCTAAGTTACGCAACTTCAGCAACGTGAATAAGTCGACGTACTTAGATCTACTTACCGCGGTGTCTTCACCATTGATCCAGTGGGTAATGTAGACAAGCCCTCAGAGGGTTGGATATTTCCCAGGGAATGCTTTGCTGCTAAATGATGAACTAGCACTCGGCTGAACCCTCAAGGGTTAATACATGGTTGTTAATGTAGCCTCACACTCTACAAGGCAGCACGAATGGAGGGAGGAGACACAATAGACACATGGCAGTGGCTGCAAACATTCCCTGCGGAAACTGAACGTGATGATGAACCCACGCTATCCCACTCAAGTGCACCACTCCCTCCACTTTTCAAAGTGTGGAGGGGTGCATGCGTGTGTGTGTGTATGAGAGAGAGAGAGAGAGAGAGAGAGAGATGGAGACACAAACCGTGTGTGAGAGAGAGAGAGAGAGAGAGAGAGAGACGTATTGCCCCTTTAAGTACGCTGACCCAACTGTAAGTACATTGCCTTTTTAAATAGATCAGCAAGTTGAGACAGCAGCTGCTGCCAGCAAGCTCCCTCCATCCTGAGCCTTGTCATTTCCCCCCTCCCCCCGCTCTGTAGAGATGGGGTACAGGAGTGGGGGGAGAGGGACACCCTGACATTAGCACCCCTCTTCCCCCACCCTCGGCACAGCAAGCAAGTGCTCCCAGGAGGAGCACAGGGCAGTGTGGGGAGGGACAGCTGAACTGCCCGGCAATTGATAGCCTGCTGGGTGGCTGCCACACAGGGAACTTAGGGGAGCTGATGCGGGGACTGCTGGTCCACTCTGGTTCCAAGACCCCACCAGCTAGCTCCAACCGGCTGCCCTTCCTGCAAGCAGTGGACAAAGCAGGCGACTGCCAAATGACGTTATAAGGGAGCCAGGGCCGGCTCTACTGTTTTTGCCGCCCCAAGCAGTGCGCCGAATTGCCGCCGCGGACGGCAGGGGCAGTCCATGTGCCGTTAGGGCGGCACGCACGTTTCCGCGGCGGCGGCAATTCTGCGGCAGCTTCTGTCTTCAGCCAGAAGACAGAAGCCACCGAATTGCTCCCGGGGGCAGCTGAACATAGAAGCTGGAAGGCTTCCTGCTTGGAAGACTGGTGCCTGGAGCCGGCCCTGAAGGGAGCATTGCACAACTTTAAACGAGCATGTTCCCTAATTGATCAGTGACGTAACAACGAAACAACATTAACTGGGACGACGTTAAGAGAGGAGTTACTGTATAGAAATCCCAATTATTAGTTTGGGCACTGGAAGGCTGCAGTCTAGAATGTCAGTGATGCAGGGTTGAGTATGTCTGAACATGAGTGTCATGCATTAGAATACTGGTGTACTGAAGTAAGGATTATGTGACTGTCATCCCAACCTCCCTGCTTCAGGGAGGTCTGAGGGTGACATGAAATTATAACGATGGGCATACGTTTAAACAAACAAACAAATGGTGGGAGATGTGCACCTGTTAGGGCCTGAAGATCAATTCAGCTGGACTGCAGTTGTAATCTTATTTGAGGGTGGGGGGGGGGGAGGAAGTACATGGACTTACCTAATTTATTTTCGGTAACCCATTCAGAAATGTTCATGCACTTATAGTATGTGCATTGTGTTTTCAAGGTCCTGAAGAGGAAACCGGGCGATTTTCCGAAGATTTTATCCTTCCTTGCTTTTTTCCACCTGCGAAAGGTGAAGTAATTTACTGGAAGAAAGGGAACAAAAATGTGCACAGCTACTACTACGAGAAGGATCAGCTAGAACGTCAGGACTCTGCGTACAAGGGGAGAACATCCCTTTTTCATGAACAAATTCCCAATGGAAATGCCTCTTTGAAACTGAGTAACCTGAGCCTGAGTGATGAGGGCTCCTACAGCTGCTATGTGGGGACAAATCAAGATAAAACAGAACTGGAAGTCAGGCTTCACGTAACAGGTCAGGAGGATATTTAACATATCTGAACTGCACAGGTAGCAGATCTTATTCTCTTCCCTCTCACCTGAAATTGAAATACCTCACACCGGGTAGTAGCACCAATATCTTGCCAGTCTATCAGCACTAAAAGGCAGCTCTATACTTCACTGTTGCATTTCAGCAGTAAATAGGGTGACCAGACAGCAAGTATGAAAAATCAGGATGGGGGTGAGAGGTAATAGAAGCCTATATAAGAAAAAGACCCAAAAATCGGGACTGTCCTTATAAAAAATCAGGACATCTGGTCACCCTAGCTGTAAAAGAAATAACCTAGTTCTAGCAGAGGATGAAAAGCTACAGTGAAGTCATTTGAGGTTAAAATCACTGCAGGTCTGCGGGATGCAATTGGGTAGCGGGTGAACTTAAATAGTAAGTGTGGAGGGTGGATTCTCACTGAAGTTTGGAAACTGATGAGTGATAATGGGGCAAATGCAACACTGTAGTCGGAACTAAACACAAATAATTGGATTTGGCTTCTGTGTTCTGCAGATTCTCTCCTATATTATTCCAGAAAACCAATCACACCAAGTTAAGCCGAATGTTGAAAGTACCAGACTTTTTTTTTTTTGTCTTTACAGTTTCCCCCTCTTATGCAATGGAATATGAAAAACGAGACACAGAGAGACTGTTGAAATGTCTTGCCTTTCGTATTTATCCTGAGCCAAACATAACATGGGCATATAACAGTACATCTATGCAAAACACAAAAATGGAAGTAACTCAGGATGGCCCTCTCTATTTAGTTAGAAGTGAGCAGAACATTACAAACAAAGTTTCTTCTTACCAGTGTCACATTCAATTTCACAACCAAACTTGGACTGCTGAATGGAAAATGGAAGGTAGGATTGAACTATTCTCCATCCCTTAAACATATATAGCCCATGACAGTTGAGCCATAATGAGTGCATGCATCTACATTGTGCTGGATTGGTAGAGAGACAATAGTTAAGGTTACATAACCTTCCATAGAACTCAGCTGATTATAAAACCAGCTAGGCTGAGATGAGTGAAAACCCCTCAACATTCACCCCCAAATTTTAGAACTGTGAAATGCATTTATTTCGAGTGTGGCAGCTTCATGCTTAGGTTTTGACCATGTGGGTTTTCCACCTCCCAAGTTGCACAACAATGAATTTCGAACTTCGAATTTCGAACTATTTCAGATTCACAAAGGTTTCCTCAATAGGTTTTTGAACCTTATGACCCTGGCTGGAGTTTTTAAACACAACCATAATGTGGTTTGGAGTGTCATTGCAAACCTATCACACAGCATCACTGTCAAGGCTGCTTCCCCACTCTGAACTTTAGGGTACAAATGTGGGGGCCTGCATGAAAACTTCTAAGCTTAACTACCAGCTTAGATCTGGTCCGCTGCCACCATTCCCAAAGCTAATTCCCTTCCCTGGGAAGCCTTGAGAAACCTTTCACTAATTCCCTGGTGAATACAGATCCAAACCCCTTGGATCTTAAAACAAGGAGAAATTAACCATCCCCCCTCCTTCCTCCCACCAACTCCTGATGGATCAAGATCCAACCCCCTTGGATCTAAAAACAAGGAAAAATCAATCAGGTTCTTAAAAAGAAGACTTTTAATTAAAGAAAAAGGTAAAAATCATCTCTGTAAAATCAGGATGGAAAATAACTTTACAGGGTTATCAAACTTAAAGAGCTCAGAGGACCCCCCTCTAGCCTTAGGTTCAAAGTACAGCAAACAGAGATAAACACTCTAGTAAAAGGTACATTTACAAGTTGAGAAAACAAAGGTAAACTAACACGCCTTGCCTGGCTGTTTACTTACAAGTTTGAAATATGAGAGACTTGTTCAGAAAGATGTGGAGAACCTGGATTGATGTCTGGTCCCTCTCAGTCCCAAGAGCGAACAACCCCCAAAACAAAGAGCACAAACAAAAGCCTTCCCCCCCCCCCAAGATTTGAAAGTATCTTGTCCCCTTATTGGTCCTTTGGGTCAGGTGTCAGCCAGGTTACCCGAGCTTCTTAACCCTTTACAGGTAAAAGGATGTTGGCGTCTCTGGCCAGGAGGGATTTTATAGTACTGTACACAGGAGAGCTGTTACCCTTCCCTTTATAGTTATGACAATCACCCAATAGTAAGACTTGCCTATAGCCAACTCTAAATGGCTGTGGCTCGGCTTGTGCCCATTTAATACACTGGGGCAGCTAACTTTGTTTAGTGCACATATTAATTTTATATTACAGTAGCACTCAATAGCCTCAATCTGGATTTGGGATCCATTGTACTTATTACCGTAAAGATCACTTAGTAAGAGATGCTCCCTTTTTTTTTTAAATTGTCCCAATCCATCCCCGACCTCTTTCTCTCCCATTGTCCAGGTGACCCAGCCAGACATTACCTGTGGCTGACCTAAAGCATTCTCCTTTCACCCTGCCTGCTCTGCACAAGTAGCAGCGGGGAGGAGGCGGGGGAAACTGTTCCTCATCTATTGTTCTAGTTACCAATCTGTCCATCCCCTATTGCTTATTTGAGTCTATTCACTACCATTTGTCTTCCCTGTCTTCTTTCTGCCCCCCCCCTCTTCCCCAGATCACATCTTCTCACCTCTACCCAAACCCAAAGGGCCTGAGGGGGAGGGGAGTGGAGCAGCAGCCAAACAGATTGTCCAGATTCAAATAACAAAATACACTTGGGCAGAAAATAGATGGTGTCACTCCATAAGGAAAAACAGGGCCACTGAAATTTAGCTCTCCCCTATGGTCCATTTACTCCTGCTGCATCGGGCTTTTTTTGCATTCCCTAGAAATCCATTTCAGCAAATAACCATTGCTTTCCCGAGGCTCTTCTCTCTTAAGAAATATTTCTTAATTGAGGCAACAGCAATGAAAGAGCAAAGTTTCCTGTCAGATCTGCGTGACTGACCTTGACTCCACTACTCTGCGCTCCCTACAGCCCATGCACAGAACTCATAGTTCTCAATCCACTATGCACTCCGCAGAGCAGAATTTTGTTCTGAATGTATGTACTGTAGCATATTAACGTAGCTCATTAATGGAATCCCACATCTTAAAGGTCACATGGTGCTGAGTGTTATAAATGCCTCACATTGGCTAGAATTTGTCCTTACTAACAGCAAGTGAAATTCAAAAGGGTTAGGGGATTGGTCTGGATAAGCATCCAGATTTCTGGCTGCTTACCTGAACCTTTTGAGATCATGTAGCCTTTTGCTAGCCAGGCAAGAGGCAATGTGGAGTGCAGTTTTTTCCCCCCTGTTGGCCCTCAGAGTCACTCTCCATATCCCCTCATGTCAGCTACATCTACACTATGAGCTGGAGGTGCGAGACCCAACTTGTGAAGACATACTTGTACTAGCTCTCATTGGAGCTAGCGAACTAAAAATAGTAGTGTAGCTGCAGTAGCACGGGCAGTGATGACATGGGCTAGCTGCCCCAAGTACGTACTCAGGGATCAGGTGGGTTTGTAGCCTGTGTCGCTGTAGCCATGCTATCATGGTTACATTACTATTTTTAGCATGCTAATGTAAACGTGTGTACACAAGCTGGGAATCGTGCCCCTTGCTCATCATGTAGACCTCGTCCCACACACCAAGCATGCTAATGTAGTGTAGAAATGTTATGGCTCCCTGACCCCAATACAAGTTGCCAACCATCCCTCTCCATTCGTTTGTGCCTATTGAGGTGAGTCACTATTCTCAGTCATAAACTCTACACCTAGCACTGGTTGCAATATTTCATCCCAAGGCACTGTGAATTTGTGTGAGTATATGAGAATTTCTGTCCTACTTAATATCTTCCTTTGACCACTACTAATCTGTAAGTATCCTTTAGGAAGCCTTTCCCCCCCCCAAATAAAAGAAAAAAAACAGTAACACTCTCTGAATGTTAATATTTTTTCCCTCTCCTAATCCTTATAGTTGAGGACTCTGTTCCACCACTGTTGTTTACTTTAGGAGCTGTGTGGTAGTACTAGATTTTATTTTAGGCAATTAACTAAGATGAAATGTTAGGCACCGAACAATTGTGGTGTCCAGATATTTTCCTCCCTTAAAGGTAAAAAAAAAGAAAAAGAAAAGGATATCTAAATTTAATTTCATATTTTAAACTAGTACATTAATAATGAACTTTATTTAGAACCTGTGTTCTAAAAACCTTAGATCTTTAACCAAAAATAAATGGAGTCTAATTTTGCACCTTTTATGCTCTTTACTTTTTGGACTTCATGCAGCTTAGATAGTAAAAATAAACTAGGTGGTGCCTTTTGTTTGCATAAGAGTCAGAAAGCAAAGCTAACACAAGATTACAGAGTTAGTAGGAGTGACTCAATAGGGAAATGTTCACATCTAAGAAAAAACCCTCTTTGCATTGGCAAAAACAAAAACTCATTTAATATAAAGCAGTTGCCACCTCTCCACACCGTCACCCCTTTTTGTTTGTTTGCTTAAACCAACTACTAAGGCTAAACTACAGTGTCTGAAATGACTCTTTCAAGAAGTGGTTTCTGCAGTCGGATGTCTTGCGAAGCTTATAGGGAAGTATCAGTACAATTATATCAAAAGATTGCTTCAAAAATAGTGCACAAAAAGTCTGAGCATCCTTCACTTGCTCAAACCATTGCTTTCCCATTAATTGTTGCTTTTTAAATTGTATATTTCAGATCCGTTTTTTAAAAAGGAAGGAGATACTGTTTCAATTCCATGTGAATTTATGGCTGAAGGGTCTCCATATGCTAAAGACTTCATAGTTACTTGGACAATAATCAGAAATGCATCTACCTTGGTTCTGGCATCCTCTGACAACTCATCACAACCCCCTGAACAGTTTAAAACTCGATTCTTTTGGGAGAAAATCAATGAACAGGACTACTCAGTAATCTTAAGGGATCTTACTCTGGCAGACAGTGGAGAATACATGTGCAATATTTCAACACCTCACTATACACAACTCACTGTAAGAATTTTGCACATTGGGGGTAAGTTGCCGCAATTTCTACACTGCAGGTTGGGGAGAAAAAGGTCAATTCAAATCTGCAAAATGTCAGGAAAAATGACCTCAAGTCCTCTGAGAGACACAAGTTGAAGTTAATTTAACCATAAATTCCTTTATTGAACCAAAGACCTAATGGTATTTATACAATTGCTCTAAACATGCCTACAAAGCTGTTTACTACATCCAAACAGTAACAAAACATTTATAGGCATTTGATCAAGATAGTTACAAATTGGCTAACCCCAGGGGTGTTTAGACCCATATTGGTTGGCTCCAACTTGGTCAGACAGGTATTAACAATGCACCCTTTAAGAGTTTACTCTTTTATTCCCTTTAACAAACAAGTGATGTCATTATCAATGGTCAGATCTTAGCTAAGGTCAGATGGAGTTTCGTCTATAGCCAATTCTTTACTGCACCTGGTACCCAATTAATTATATTTTATTTCTATTATTTTAGGCCAAACCTTAAATAAGATAACACTGGTATTTTGAAGGGTTGCTACAAGTGTAACACAATTACTCTTCTTTATTATGGTTTCATTCTTTTTGGTTCCATGCTTTGGGCCAATTGTTCATGCTAATATCCCAACTCATTTTAAAATCATAGTTCATCTAAATCTAGTGTGGGCCTATATTCCTACAGAGCAGGGCCGGCTCTGGATTTTTTGCTGCCCCAAGCCAAAAAAAGAAAAACCACAAAAACCTGCGGCGCCGCCGGAGCCAGGGTGCGGGGGGACTCCCTGCTTTGGTGCCCCGGCTAGCGAGGCGGAGGGAGAGGGAGCGGGGGGAGCTGCCAAGAGGGCTCCGTGCCGCGGTCAGCTGGGAGGGAAGGACGCGGGCTGCCCTGCCGGGCTTGCTGCAGGGCGCTCCCCTCCTCTGTGCCGCCGCCCCCTACAGGGCGGCCAGAGCAGAACAACAACAAAAAGCGGCCGTGCCACCCTAGGATTGGGCCGAATGCCGCCTCGTACAATCTGCTGCCCCAAGCACCAGCTTGCTCGGCTGGTGCCTGGAGCCGGCCAGGAGCCGGCCCTGCTACAGAGGTAGAATAATGTCGTAGTATTTTATTAGAGAAATATTGATCTGGATGAGAAAAAAGCAAGGTTAGACTTTTCTGAATATTGGGATTTATTTACTTGAGAGATTTGGAGATTTTTTCTTATATCAGTAGCTGATTTTGGACACAACCTTGTGAGGTGCCAAGTGTCGTCGGTTCCCGCTGACTTCAGCGGGAACTGAGAGTGCCCAGCAACTTGCAGGATCAGGCCCTAAATGCCGTCTGTTGATGGAGACATCTCGGCACCAACTGCCTTCAGACATATGGTAAACTCACAAACCGCACTCTACAGTGCCAGCTGATAAAGAAAATTCACTGGACATCAACACAGTTATTTTGTATTTTTTTCAATTTTATGCCAAATAGAAGACATTTATTTAGACTTACAAAAGTGAATTTTTATATGCATGGCTAAACTTTATGAGACCTGTAGTGGATTTTTAGCTGTGAGACCTCTTGGCTATATTTATCATTGTAGTGCTGGGGACTCAATGAATAGCTTATCCATCTCTTTCCAGTTCTCTCTCAGTGAAGGTCAAATAGTAAGTTAAATCTAGTATTCAGAATTTATAATGTAAACAATTGTTAGGGAATGTAATTTGTTGTTTGTAGTTTTTTCTCCATGCAGTACTTCAAAGCGAAAACAAAAAAAAAAATCTCTCAATCACAGCGTTTGAGAAGCATGGGCTGTTAAATGCAATTACTTAGACCGGAGCTGGTTTAGGGATCCCAGCTCAGTCTTAAGTAAAATGAGAACTTTAAAGTACCTCACTTGCTGAGTGGGGAGGGAAAAGGGAAGAGATACAGCTGGACGTAATGAAGGGTGATGGAGAAAGAAGCAGTAAATTTAAACTGTGCCCTACCTTCTCCAAGCTTGGTGCAGATCTGAGAACAGACAGTGTTGCTTCAAGTGTGTGTGTGTCTGTGAAAGTTTAAATAGTATAGAGCAAAGAAAACAGGAGGTGTTTCTTAGACAGGATTCCAAACAACACGAGTTCTAGCTTTGTCTTTGTGCCTCAGAGAGCACAACCTGTGTGAGGAGCAAAGGTTTTAATTTAGGGACAGGAAAGGATCACGTTGTTCTATGGCATGTGTTAGCCAGGAGCTCAGACTAGATGATCTCATTGGTCCTTTCTGGCCTTGGCATAGGCGCCGACTCCGGGGAAAAATTAGCAGGTATTCAGAAGCCAAGCTCCCCCTGCCCTTTCCTCGCCTACTCCTCCTCTGAACGCGCCATGTCCCCGCTCCTCCCCCTCCCTCCCAGCGCTTCCCATCGCCTTGCCGCCTAACAGCTGTTTGGCGGCGCTTTGGACTTTCCGGGAGGGAGCAGGAGGATCAGGGAAGTGGCGCACTCAGGGGAGGAGGCGGAGAAGAGGTGGGGCAGGGACTTGGGGGAAGGGGGTGGAATGGGGGTGGAGACTTTGGGGAATGGGGGGGCGAGGGTGCTGCACGGGTGTGGGGGGTCAAGCACCCACCGGGCAAAAGGGAAGTCGGGGCCTATCGGCCTTGGAATCTAAGAATTCATGAATGTGGCTCTCAAATACTTCAGTTAATTTACCTTCATTCTCAAGATTTCTCCTGCAGTTGCAAATTTGAAATAAGATCTCTCTCTGTATACTTGGGATGGGTTTTACTACAAATTAATAAACAAGCAAACTTAAAATGAAAATCTTGCTAAGGCTAACTGCTATAAACTTTTACTAACCTAACTGGGAATGAGAGAGACTAATTATCAAATCAAGATCACAGATGGAACTGAGTCAATAAATCAAGGAATTTATTGAATTGATTCACCAACCCGCACAGGGTCAGTTCTTACAAATGGTAACTGCAAGATTAAAGGAGGCAGTTGTCTGTTTTGCTCTAAACCCCAATTGCAGGATCTTGCTCCTGGCAACTACACTGGCTGAACGTCTTAGACTGAGAATCAAACTTGTTTGCCTCTTGGCACTCAAGGTAATATTTAGCCTCCCCCCAACATTCCTATGTGCTTAGTGTCTTATTGTTGGCTTCTCCCTGATCTGATTACCCTACTTGGATAACATAGCAACTCTTACTTCCATTTTATAGAGCAGAGGGGTTTTGCTGTCCTCTTCGACTACCTGGCATCAGGGCCACCCAGAAGAGGGGGCAAAACGGGCAGAGAGTGCCTCCACTGAATGGCACTGCAACCCCAGGTGTCAGATCACAATGCTACTTCCTGAAATTTGACTCTGTGGTTCCTCTGTCACAATAATAAAACAGGGAAAAAAGGTTGCTTAAGGAAAAACAAAGATTCACTATTTGCTTGTGTGGTCTTCAGAGTCAAGAATGCAGCTTGTGGGACCAGGTGATGTGGTCTCTGGTTAGTACCTCTCACCAGCATGGTCTTCTGGGCAACTTGGCTGGTCAGGCTTGTGTAGCCTGTGGTTGTCTTTGTCTCCTGTTTCTGTAGGACCAGCTTTTGAAAGCAGGGATTTCAGCCTTTGTTGGTGTTGTGGTGGTCCAAGAACACACATTTTTCCCTGTAACGGTCAAGATTGTAGTTCTAGCTTACTCCACCCTATGGCACCTGACCTCCCTAGAGGTTTTCTGAGCAACTCAGGGCATTGTCGCATATCTTGGACCCTCACAATGTGGTCGAATCTTGGGCAAACTTGATCCTTGGTCAGTTTGGAAAGCCCTCCTTTTCAATAATCCATCATTAGGCCACAAGCATGTGTACTCCAAAAATATAAAAAGAGTGGGGGCAAGCAGGAGATGACTCTAAGGAAGCAATCTCACCCTGAAAGAGGAGGGGAGGGGCTACAGTTGGAGGGTGCAGATGGCTCCAAGTTCCTTAAAAGGCCGTAACACATTCATGAATATGACTAATGGCCCAACGAACATCTCCTTCTCCTTTCAGACGGGAAGCCAACAATTCTGTTTTGAGTCTCCTGAAACAATTTTTTCTTTAAAACCCTTCCTGCAAAAATCAATCAATCATGGTCTGAGGTTTCATCCTGATCCGAGACTCAATTCTTCTTACAGAAATGCAAAATGTTTCACTGGAAGGGATTTCCATTTCCCAGCCAGCTGTACTACCAGGTATAATATTTACTGCTGAGTGGTCCGGTTGCAAAGCAGTGGGGCTACTCATGGTAGTGAGCACTATATCCGAAGACAGTATTTACAGGATGGGGCCAGTTGATCTTGTTTTTAATTAGACTGTTATGGAAGTCACCAGGCATGGCCCCTCCCCCCATAAGGCCACACACACACACAGCTCTGCCTTGACACTGTGGCAGTAAGCAAAGGAGCATGTTTTCAGCTATTTGGGTTTCAAATGTACTTATTATTTGAAAATTTATATTCTCTTAAGATTGCAGGACCTTAAAAGCTTTTATTAAAAATTAAATTGCAATTCAGTGTTAAGATTACAGTCATGTTAATTGAAAGAACAGATTAGTTCCCAGCTCAGTTAGAACTTTATGAATTACAAACGGGAAAGAAGTAATAGACTCATGCCCATTAGAATCATAGAATATCAGGGTTGGAAGGGACCTCAGGAGGTCATCTAGTCCAACCCCCTGCTCAAAGCAGGACCAATTCCCAACTAAATCATCCCAGCCAGGGCTTTGTCAAGCCTGACCTTAAAAACCTCTAAGGAAGGAGATTCCACCACCTCCCTAGGTAACCCATTCCAGTGCATTGTGGACTGTTGTGAGTATTAAGTCAAGCCTGCACTGCTGTGTATTTCACTTAGATGGAGCACATAAGCTTTAAACCTTCTGAGACACTTGAGAAATGTTAATATTGTCTGTTTGTTTGAAATTAATATGAACTATATATTTTTAGAAAAATCCTCACGTCACCATTGGATAGTAGTTATAGTGCTACTGATCCTCATCATTGCCTTTGCTGTATGGTGTGCTGTGAAGGTATGTATTACTTTAATATCTGTTTTTGTAAAATCCCTTAGAACAAGATGTATGTAAAAATATAACTACCGGTACTACTAATAAGGTCAGAATTTGGATGCTTGACAACCATATTTGATTTGTTTTAGTTAAGAAGCTGGCAAAAGACTGAAAATATAACATCATAGGTTGTAATTAATATTCCCGTTTCTGCTACTCCTTGTGATTAATAGGCAGCCCCAATGCCCCTATAGACTGCAAGCAATGTCTGTGTTGCTCTGTTTTAGATGTTGTGTTGGCTGAGTGATCCAGGGTAGGTTCCTTTTGCTCTGCATATACCTAAGGTGAGGTCAGGAAGTTGTTTTTCTCTTCAAGAGCACACTACACCAAGCAGATCTAAAAAACATTCCCCAAATAGTCTACATTGAAAGAGAAGCTTCATGCAAGCATATTAGCTTTAAACTGCCCAAAAATTAATCTAGATGCGTCCAATCTCTGTTATTGAAATGAAAAATCAATTGCTTACATACACCTCTACAGAGCTTCTCTTCCCCCAAACTCTTTCAATCCTTTTCTGACACACAGATCCAAAGCTTTTAGGGATCCCCGGGGGTTGGGTCTGGTTTGCTGCAGATCCCAAGCCCTCTAAGGTTATAGGCCACCCCCTGCCCATACTTAGGGTATGTCTATACTACAGCAGCTACAGTGGTATAGCTACAGCATGTTATAGGTAGCTATAGGTACAGTTGCTGCAGTGTAGACATTCCTACATAGATGGAAGGGTATTTTCTGTCACTGCAGGTAATCGATCTCTCTGAGAGGAATCCTTCCATCATCTTAGCTGCATCTACAGAGGTGCTTAAGGTCAACCTAACTGCATTACAGGATGCAAAATTTTCCCCAGCACTGAGCGGTGAACTAGGTCGACTTGTTTTAGGTTTAGACTGGGCCTCACTCTTTGTACTGCTTTATTCCTTTCCATGTGTTTAGTGCAATAAAGGAACCTATGGGCTTCAATCCCTCACTCTGACCTAGACCAAATTCCTTTTTAATGTGGACTTCGTCCATGATGACAACTGTGGTGCATTGAGGACTGCATTAGAATTGTAAGCAATCAGTTCAGGAGGCTGCTTGCAGGCTAGGGAGACTCTGTAACAAAGCATGTGCTTGGTGTTGGTTTGAAAAGAGCCAGTTTAAAGGAAGAAGAGGTGATTTGTGCCTCCCTGCCTTAGGAGCAGCCTGCTTGTCTTCTCTCTGGTTTGGGTTCTTGTGTATTATTTTGAATTCTGTGAAATAGAGCAGTGTGATGTTGCAACCTTCTAGCAAGATTATTTGTTTTTATCTAATTTCTCTATTTGTATCCTATAACATAACAGATAAGACAGTGAAGGATGGAGCCATATTAGAAAAATAAAGAGAGAGCAAAGATAAAATGGCTGCATATGGACAGTTTACAATGTAATGAAGAAGGAGAAGATTTCATAACATATGATCAGAGACTTGAGCAGTATTTTAATGCAAATGCTATGGAAGATATAGATGACTGCAAGAACCTGACGAGCTGGAATATGAGAACATAAAAGAGATTCTAAAGAAGCATTTTTGTGCCTACTGCCAATTTTTTAACAGACCCATATAAGTTTCATCTAAGAAACCAGCTAGAAGGAGAAAGTATCTGAATTTTTGGCAACCCTGAAAAACCTGTTCTCCATTCTGTTTTGGTAATTTTCTGAAGGAACTCTCAGATCAATCTGAATTAAGAAAGAGGTTGTTGGATGTTGTGTATCACAAGGAACTGCCACTAGATGAAGACTGCTCTATTTGAATCCACACAAAAAGTGCACCAAAATTTGAAAATAAATTGGCCTCATCATGCTGGGCTGGAAAGAAGGGCCTCAGCAGTGGATGAAAGAAACACCACCACCCGGTGGCACCTCTCATAGGATCCAAACAGAACAAAGGGAGCCCTGTTTCTGCTGTCTGGGGACACGACACTGGCAGGAGCACTGCACACTGCACCAGGGTACAGCAAAGGATCTGCCAAAAGGAAGCCATAAGTGTCTACATGTAGGAGCCACCATCCTAGTTAGGTGTTGACTGTCAGGGTTGGAAGCAGGTTGTCCCCTGGAGGAAAGGATGCATGAGCCATACCATTTCACAGAACTGTATGTGGTGGGAAATGGGACAAACATATCATCCCCTGTATTATGATAACGTAAAGGTAAATGACATGATATTGACAATGGAAGCAGATACAGGAGCAACCATATCTGTGATCTCTGGGGGCGGGTTGGGGAGGAGTTTAAATTTTTTCCCCCCGGGTTAAGATCAAGAGAAATAATGTACTTGGACAGCATTACAATTAGGGGCAGATAGCTGTGTTAGGCAGCCTCTCTGTTACTCTAATTTATATAGATATCTATTCAACATTAGAGTTAATTGTGAGTGAAGGAAATCCCCCTTCCCCCACTGATGGACACAAACTAGCTATACAAGTTTAAACTGGATTGGAGAGTGGTGCATGACATGCCTGATAGAGTTGGGGAACTGAAAAACACAAAGCTGTGGGTGGATTGTACAGATGTGGGTTTGGAAAGAGGCAATAACTGTGAGGCTGGTTGTGTCTGACAAGGCCTAAATTCCTGAAGGCTAGACCTGTGCCTTATGTTCCGCAGAAGCCTGTGGAAAAACAAAGTGAAAAACCCACAACATAAACCTCCCAGGTTTTTCTGCCTCGGGCAGTGATGGTACAAAATTACAGGGGAGGGATAAAGTGTGTGTGTGGGGTGGAAAGTGTGGTAAAGAAGATATTGGACCTAATGACACATTTGATAGCGATAATGAAGAGGTACATTGACTAACTGTTACCAGATAAAAGCTCAGTATGATTACAGAATGTGGCCCCTGAAGCAAGAAGAGATTGTTTGGGTTTTTGTTGGCTGGAGGAGGAGGAATTAGTGTGGAAGATGGTGGCCAAGAAAGGAAGAGTGCCCCTGCTGGGCATGAGGACAAAGTTTGGATGGCCCTTTCTTTCCCTGACACGTACCACTGGCCACAGCCTGTAGCAAAATGGCAGACCCGGCTGTAAGGTTAAACTTGTAATTTGGTTTTTATGGTTGTGTTTATTAATTAAGGAATTTACAGGGGATGAGTGTGCTGTTTGGAGGAATGTGTTGGAATTGCAAACTATTGCTTTAAGAGCAGGGTGAGGGTGATTCTCTTGTCTAGCCGTACAGCCTAAGGGGGCTCTGTAGCAAAGCATGAGATTGGCTCAGAGTTTCTTTGAAAAGAGCTAGGTTAAAGCAAGGTGGAGAGAGTTGGGCCTTCCTGCTTTAGGGAGCAGCCTGTTTTTCTTCGTCTCCGTCGGGGCCAGCTCAACCCATTAGGTGACCTAGGTGGTCGCCTAGGGCACTACAATATGAGGGGCGGCGACTGCGGCGGTCCCGCCGCCTCTGTGGGGGGACGGCATTTCGGGGCAGGACATTCTGCCGCCTAGGGCAGCAGAAAAGCTGGCGGCGCTCCTGGTCTCCATGTTTGGGTTTGTGTGTTATCGTTCAGGGTTCTACAAAACACTGTTATGTTGCAACCTTTCAGCAACAGTAGCAATGTGTTTTAGCTACTTCTCTGTGCATACACTGTGCACGTAACAGAAAGCAAGCTTGAATTGCTGAGCAAGAAAACTGTCTGCTGCTGTTTGCTCCTACTATATTCAGGGAAACGGGACGTTAGGCCACACTACTTAGAATTCGGAATGATAGCACATAAACTGCAAACCAACACTAGTATCAATAGCAGCGTGGCTGTGGAAGCACAGCCGGGCCGAGTACACACACACCCGAAATTGAAGGATACATACTAGGCACTGCTCAGCTGTGCTGCTGCTGCCTGTGCTACCCCAGCTACACTGCTATTTATACTCGCACTAGCTCTCTTCAAGCTACCGCAAGGATGTATATGTGAGCAGGGGAAATCACATCCCTAACTTGTAGTGTAGATGTAGCCAGAGAAAGAGAGAAAACAGGCTGCTTGCTGAGGGCAAGTCTACACTTAAAACAGTGTAGCTGCACCGCTGTAGTGCTTTAGTGAAGAGAGCTCTCCCGTTGGTGTAGTTAATCCACCTCCCTGAGAGGCAGTTGGTGGGAGGAGCCCTCATGCTGACATAATGCTGTCTACAATGAAACTTAGGTTGGTACAACTACATCGCTCAGGGGTGTGGATTTTTTACACCCCTGAACAATGTAGTTCTACCAAAGTAATTCTGTAGTGTAGACCCTATCTTGCTTTAAGGTGATACTTTCCAGACTGCCTGTGGGAGAGCTGCCATGCGTTGCTACAGAGCCCCTTAGCCTGTAAACAGGACAAGGGAACCACTCAGCCCTGCCCCCCCAACTTTTTCCACTGATAGCTTGCAGTTCGAACACTGTCGTCAATATAACTCTGCCAAGCCTGTGCCCAAAAGGTGGTCTCTTTCTTAGCTTCCTCCCAGGGCCACACTCACTGCTTCGTTCACTTTCTGGTCCAATCTGCTTCTGCCACACAGACACACTGGCAGCTCCATCACTCAATCCTCTGATTTTTGTAATCAGTCCCAGGGGAACCCCTCTTTTTCTGCCTGAGTTACTTTTTTCTCAGGCCTTCCCATGCAGTCTAGTGCCTTGGGAGGTGGCTTGTATTGTTTCAGCTCTCTCTAAACCAAGGGGCATTTAATTGTTCCCTCATTTATTGGGGAGGGTGGATGAGAAGACCCCAGAGTGTTTCTCCATCCTTGTCATCTATGATTTTACTGCACTTGGCTAATAAGAGTGAAAAATTTTTGCTTCTTCAATGAGACCTATATGGGCATTTTTGTTGTTGTTCCCATGTGATGCCAATTGACGAATTTTATATATCAGAAAGTGTGGTAAACAGTGGTAAAGGATTTGTTTTGACTTTCAGGACACAAATAATCAAGGAAAGAGTTTCTTGGAAGACTGTGTGAAGCAAACTTGCTCAGGAGAGGCAGAATAGTTGTCTGAGGTTTCAAGTAAATAGAAACTTAGAACCAAAGAGAATTCTTTGCATTCTCTTTTAGGTACGAT